TCCGACGATTGCTTCAATGTCTGATATTTTTTCCAAATTTTAGAATATTTTGTTTTTACGTGATTTAATTCGTCGTACATATCACCAAATAACGATCGAGTTTTCATTAACGAACGTTCGGTTGTATCTAATTTGTTTTTTAAAAATGCGATACTCACTGATTCTGATGTTTTTGGGTCTACCGTGAGTGCCGAAGTAGATGGATTTTGATATTCGTTTGGATAGGACTCTTGACTTAACAATACATCTGACGTTACACGTGTTGAATTTAAAGCAACTACGGGTTCTTCGATTAATTCGCTCTTGACTGGAAATGTTTCAAGTGGAAATATTTTGAGTGGATGTGTTTCGACTTGGTCAATTTTCCAGATATTTGGGTTATCACTTTCTCCAAAAATAATACAAAACACTTTAATATAAAATTCATCGCTGATCAAGGCAACCATTTTCAGGAACAGAAGAGGGTGATAGTATGTACCGTTCCAAATTGTTTGGTACCCGTCGAGTTTTACTATTGGAGATTTTCCTAAACGTTCAGCCATATAGTTCGAAATACTTTTGAATGATGGAAGTCTTTCAAAATCGATTATTTTGTTTTTGAAATTAATTTTACAACAGTTTGTGACGTTAATCCATACATTTTCATTTATTACTAAATCAAGTCCGGAATGTTTTATATGCCATAGTCCTAATTGAGCGTTGTGTTCTAAAGTAACGACAGACTGTTGACAAAGTCTTAATAAGCGACTAAATTGTAACTTACGACCACAGGAAGAGTTAAAATATCTGATGATAAATGAGACGGAGTTGATGTAAAGTTCCTCAGAAGTTAGTATACACGCATATAAATACACGATTGGATGGTAATATCTACCAAGTGCATGTGGGTATGGTCCGTTATAAAATGTTTCTTGAATTTTTTCCTTGTATGTTCCTGCAAATACTTCAGCGAAAAATTGAATCTCTTGTCCATGGTTTTCTGTGTTGAATACTATCATATTTGCTGTATTCAAAAATCCAGTACACTCGTGTATTGTTACTTCAAAATTGTAAGCAGCGCAATGCACGAAATTTGAACAGAACTTCATATTTGAAAACATGACGGACACAAATCTATAGGCTTCTTACAAAAAATTTATAAAAATTAAAATAAATCGTATTAATTTGTATAGGCAGATGACACAAGGTTACAATAAATCGGGTGCGGACACCGAACACATACGGGATATAGATAGGACGAGATACTGACGAATATTCTGTTGCTCGCACAGGTATCCTGCAAATATTGTATGCTTCAGGTTAAGTGGGGAAAAATATAAGGGGTCGTTAAAATGCCATTAGTGTCAACCACCAACCTTACCATGTTAACCTGTGACCATCAAAATACTATTTGCTTTCAAGATTGTTGAATTTCCTGGTGGTTTCAAATTCAATAGTGAACCTTCCTGTTTTGTTATAGGCTGCTAGGTTGTTTACCGTCTAGAACGAATAAAGAAACTGACATTTTATAAGACAGTTAAAAACATTCAAGCATATAATAATGATCCTTACAAGTTACAACTCTAACAATAATTCCTCCCAAAATTAAAAAAAAATACTAATTCAATTGTGTATTATATGTATATGTATTTATAATACTCTGTTTTGTTCAACATACTTGAATAAAGTGATTCAGAGAATAAGCTTTTAAGAAAGCGTAGATGACTAAAGAATGTTATATTGAATTCCTAAAACTGGTAATGCCAATTTATATTTTAGTAGCTGTTGGTATGTTTGTATTATTATTTGTATATTGTATTTTAAAATTTAATTTATTTGATCATAATTATTATTAAATTGTATTAAGTAATATAACTAATACCTAATCTAACTTTTATTTTAAACATAGTAATTATTTTTAAGTAATATAATATTATGTACTATACATATTAATTTATCATCGATAAATTAAAATATCAACAACAGATTTGGAAAAATAATAATTGTGTTTGATAATTTTATATTAATGTAAAGACCACTCTTGACATCTGACGGACCACCTTTCACATATACCTACATAATTACCTAACTATTTGTTCCCCTATGGATTTCCATGCGGTCTCGAAGAATGCGAAAAATCCGTAACCAACGAATGCCTAGGCATCGTACGTTGACAAGCGAAAAAACAAGAATCTGTGCGTGGACGCCTCACGAGTGAGTGCACTATTTTTTATATTTTTTACGATAATTCAGCAAAACCAAACCACATCAATACATCATCAAAGTGATATGGTCCTATTTTAGAGTGCAACTATATAATATTATATTCAATCAACTGCATATAAGAAGCTTGCAAAATGTATAGCCATACAAGAAGATGGGCAGTTTAAAAATGACTGCCATCTTAATTTCTGAGTATGTGTGTTTTGTAAATCATTATATTTATTTATTTATTTATTTATTTATTTATTTAAAATTTAAACACAAATTGTTATATACATCCATACATATATTACATATAGTTATAAGAACTTTAATACGATAATATGATATGGTCTTTGCGGGGATCAATTGATCACATACCTAAATGAGTGACATTTTGGAGCTAGGGATACTTGGGTGGCTAAGCCTTCCGAAATATAGAATTAACCTCACTAAACGCACATTATGCTCCGTAAGTTCATTAATGTGGGCCTAAATAAAATATTCATAAGCCCATCCACCTAAATGTATAAACTTTGCTGACGAGAGTTTAGTCATTTTGCTGTCATGATCTTCAGAAATCGCCTTCATAAATATATGGTTATTGAAGGCTATTGTTTTTCGATGTAATTTTCAGAACTTGTGATAAAACGGCTTGATGTACCGAATAAAATAAAATGCACCTAGTTCCTATAACATAAGTCGTTTTTTAATAGCATTTAAAACTGCACTGTCTGTTTGCTACACTCTGTAATTAAAATGTAAATGTCTGATTAAAAAAAATGTGGGAGAAAGGTGGGTTAGGTAGTAATGCCTGGTAAAAGGTGGTATGGCCATTACTGGTTAGGTTAAATACACATATGAAAATAATATCATTATTATATATTTATAATTTATGTATAAGTAAGTGAATTATGTACTTACCTATATTTGTTTTTATTTAATAACAAAAATTAAATAAAACAAATACAAAACTATTACATAAACAATATTATATATAACATAAAGTGTTCAGTGTATAATAGGATCCGGTAAGCAAGCTTGTGTGGGACCCCAGGATTCTTTAACAATTACAATTTTTATTAAATACATTAATTAATTTAATTTTAAAACTATTTGTACTTAAGATATTTATTATTTAACAAACACACTTTTAAGGTAGTATTTTAAAAGTATAAAAGGATAGAAATATTGATTATATGAAAATGACAATGTAGGTATGAACATTTAGAAGCTTGTTGTAGGAACCAGTTTGTTAAATTTAGTTTAGTTATAACATGATTTGTATAATCACTTATTTCACAAGGTAGATTATTATAAATAATTAGACTAGTATATTCTAAAAAATAAGATTGAGTGACGGATTTATGTTCATCTGGGGTGATGATATTATTAAATTTATCTTTGGTTTTAAACTTATGAAAAATGGGTTTAATTAGATTATATTTTACTAAGAAAGTAACTGTTTTTACTGTTAGAATATTTGATTCCTCAAACAATTAATAAACTCTTAATATAGATCCAAGTTGTGTAAAGGTGCAAAAGAGTTCCCTGATTTTTTAAGCCATTGAATTGATATTTTAGATTGAGTGACATTTGTATCCTTAAATATTTGATATTAATATTAATTTTTAGTATATTGTTGCAGGACTGTGAAATTATAATAGTTTTACTAATACTATGTATAGTTAACAATAATATGTTTAATAAATTTATGTTTTTTAAATTTGTAGTGGTATTGTTCTATGACTCACTTAATGTTTTAAAATGATTGTATTTGTTAAAACAAGATATTAACATTATTAGGAATCATATGTAAAGATTTGACAGCATTTATAATAATGTTAATTAATGTTTAAGTATTTAAATGTAAATAAGTAAAAATTTAATTTAAATTTTCTTAATTTAAAATTGTTATCATAATATGTATTGTCTATAATTATAATTTCTTCAATTTTCATAACTTAGTTCTTGTCCTATGAGCTTAATAATTTACAATTATTGTTTCAATTATATGTTCGTTTAGAGTTTCAGTAGGGTACCACTTATGAATTCGTTTACTAAAAGTGTCTGTTCCAAGAGTGAAATTGTTTGTCGTAAAATGGTATTTTGTTTAGCTAGTGTAATATTATATTAAATTATTCAATTTGTTGTCCAAATTGTTAAATCTTTGCTTAATGTCGGATTTATGGGCGTGAAGGCGATTATGTAAGGTACCTATCTAATTTACCATAGTTTGGTTTGTTATGTAAAAGGATACTTTATTTTCTAGTTTTCTACAATTCTCACCTTTCCGTTTACTGTTATCTGACCCGAAAAAATATTTTTCTACTTTGGTTAAATATACACATTTCAACATTTCGAGTGCCAGTGTATTGATTATCTAGCACATTATGCTATAGATAAGGTGTATACATTCGGCATTGTCGAACCCACACACTGCTTGAAAAACGAACACACGGAGATACCTGATTCAATAAACGACCTTTGGTTATTAAAGCCACTGACTAATCTTATTTCGTGATTAAAACCCACTGAGAGAAACACTATAATGACACGAACTGCACTTATTAACTCGCTGACAACCGTACAGCAGTACAGCTGAATCAATATAGTCTCATTCTTATTTTTTATCATAATAATTTTGCACTGTCCTTCGTAATTGTGTACTTGACGAATGTTCTTGACTTTTTTTTACGCAGGTATCAATCTTTTTAACAATATAATATTTTATATGAACCGTATTATTGAACTCCAATACACTAAGTAAAAGACACTATTATATAAGTACTCACGTGTCTCGCTAAGCCAGCCTCAATATTTAACTGTTATTTTTTCACAGGTATGGTGCTACAGAAAAAATATTGGACCAAGATTAAAGGCGCCTGTTGCATAGTGGTAGCATGCGTCACGGCCCTGGTTAAACTAGTGTCGAAGTACGTCGTTGGCACTTTTTCGAATTATTTCGAAAATCCATGCAGTAAGTCTAATCAGCTTTAATATGATCGAATTTCACTCGAAACGATCTCTCTGTAGTTCATTATTATTATAAAATTATAATCACGCAACAGTTGGTATAACCATATCATAAGAGTCCACTGTGCAAACGTAAAATATACAGATAATTTAACTGTTTAAAAATATTGTGATTTACAAACTTTTAGATTGGATTATATGGATTTGTAAATTGTAATTTGTAATATTTAACAAAAGTAAACGTGAACCTGTCTATTGTTATTTGCTCTACTTACATTTATGTTAGTTTCAACAGAATATTGTCTTATATTGTTGTTAATAAGTAATAAGTGATAAAAAATATTTATTTTTATTTTTATAGATTGCTTTAATTACAAATAGAGATTTCTTTGTTAATTATTTGTTAATGAATATTTTTTCGATGTTTGTTGACATTAAAAACATTCCAATAATGTAGGCAATTACATCCGGTAACATTGTTTACACTTTATAAACATTGATATAGGTACCTAAGCTGTGTCCGAAGTCGAGAAATAATTTGAATTGCTCTTCTGAAGTCATAAAAAATCATATACAAATGATATGTAATTTTAAAATTTGGTAAACCACAATTTCTCACTTATTTATTGTAATATAAAGTTGAATTTTAATTTTTTTTGAAAACATTAATAGCATAATATCATAATTTTACTTTACCTATAATACCTATTATATACCTAAGTATTTAAACGTATAAATTTATATGTATTACTACCTGATCCCGTGCACTTTGTTGCCCGTTAAAAATTCCAACTCTATATGAGACTTGATGGCGATAAGGCGAGCAGTATATTATATATTGAATATTGCCTACCTGCTGTGTATTATTGAAATAATATGTTTTATCTTTTATATTTATTTTGATTGCGGACGCGCCGATGAGCGACTATAAGCGCAACTCGGGCACCACAGTAGGCAATGTGCGAAAATTCAATTGTATGTATGCTTATACCTGATCTGCATTACGAACACTGCAGGCAACCAATAAACAAAAAAAAATAACCATTTCTACTAAATATATTTATATTTCTCCTATAACCAATAGCAACCTTATATAAACAAATATTTTCTTCGTAAATATTAAAATCTCTGCTTGAGCAACTCCCCGGGTCGGACCTATCGGTTCCAATAAATTGTGAATCTAAACCATCCAGGATTGTGTCTTGTTAGATAATTAAAATAAAATAACCTAAAATTCTACTCGAGCAATTTTTCTGGTAACGCCAACAACGAAAAATGGAAAATGAAGTCGTAAAAATCGAATAATTATAATTCATAAAGATAAAACCTAAATCTTATCTCTACTATCGACTATTGTGTTCTATGTAAAGAGAATATTACTGATATAAATAAAATCGAACGGGATAAAAACGATACGAAAATTATCACTTTACAAAATTTAAACTTTACTTTACATAGTGAAACTGTGAAACATAATATAAAATATAATATATAATAATAACTAATATTCAATACATGACATATTTCTCCATGTTGATCCATTTTTTTGGTGTTGACCGGGTGCAACATTTTAACGATTAATCATGTCATATAAACAATTTTATAAGCTAAAGCTTGCTTTAGCTTTTTCAATTAGAAAAAACATTCCGGAACTCAAAACAAAAATCATCGAAAAAAATGTTTAAAAAAAAATTTTAAAAATAGGGTTTTTCCCTTTGAGCCAAATTGGCCCAGCCGTTCACAATTTATGAATTGTTATACATTTTTGGCTCCATTTTTATATATATAGATATGTCTAATTTCCGATTAACCTAATTATATTAATATTTAATAACAATAATTCAACAACAGTCTGGGGTGTATTTATGGGGGTGACTGAAAGGCTCACCACTCAGAGGAAATGTTTGGGAACATTTTTGAAAATTAAGATTTCATATGGTATGTTGATGGTGTTATAATATTTGTTTTCCATTATTATTATACTTAAAAGATTTATCTTAATATAAGGACTCTAAGCTGATCTTTGTTGTTTTCGTTTTATAAGTGCGTAACATAACAAATTTTACACTCAGTAGATCACGTTTAGCTCCGTAAGTTAAAAATTAGAGAGAATTGACCTCTTGTAAAATTTAAACTTAAGGTATTTTAATTTTAAAGCGAGTTATGAGTTAATTATTTGTAAATCTTAAAACATAAATAACTCACTTTAAAATTCAAATATAATAAAAAGCTTATGAGTTGTCTTAGATAATAATCTTACATTTCAATTTTATAAGTGGTTAATTCACTCTAATCTTTAAACAAATAGGGCTAAGTGATCAAAAGTGATCTGCTGAGCATAAAATTTGGTATATTATGCACTTGTAAGATGGAGACAACAAATACAGTGTAGCGTCCTCTTAACAGCTCAGAAGCCTCAACCAGATCAGGAGCAATACAACAAGATACCGGTTGTCAAGTCCGTTGAACTCACAGTATTATGAATAAGAATTGAATTAAACTTAAAATATTTTTAAAATAAATTAAGAAATAACTTATATAAAGGTACTAGGTAAATTATAATTTAAAATTTCCCAGAATATTTAATAATTAATTGTGATTACTGATTAATATTGAGTAATTAAAATTATTTTTCTATATTATGTAAAATACCTATAATAGATGAGTATTCAGCAAAAACCTTAGTAGTTCATAACCGGTATTTAAAAGTTTCTAGGGAGGCGTAGTCCCCGTAAGCCCCCCCCCCCGCCACCACTATGTTATTATATTGTGATAACAACCCTGGTCTCTCCTATACACAGAATTATATATGACTGCAGTTTATAAAGAAAATAATCAGATTTATAGTTCATATGGTTGTAACCTTTATGCATTAAATTTGATTTAGATGTGATAATAGTGTTTTAAAAATTAGACATAGTGATTACAATAGAGCCAGTTTACTATTAATATAATTGACGTTTTGGTTTTTGGATCGAACAAAATTGTTTGTAGAAGGTCAAGGCTTTACTGCTTAAGTGGATGACCCAAAAAATGATCATTTTTTAGATGCTCAACGAAAAATATACAAAACAGTTGCGGATATTCCAGGACCAAGGTCCTTGCCTGTATTTGGAACCAGGTGGATTTATTGGAAATTCGGTTTGTATAAACTGAATGCCGTTCATTTGGCGTACAAAGGTATACTATGACAATAAAGCAAATTATAAAAAAAAATGATATGATTATTTCATTCAGGGCCTACACTCTGCAGTTACCCATCCCGCCTGCGATTGAAGGGAAAACATTATAACCTACATATAATAATTAACCCAATAATATGTATACACTATACAATGAAGTAAAGCAACTAATCTAACATTTATAGGAAATATTCATAATGATAAAATATTACACGTATTTAATTATTATTAAATTATATTAATTATATATATTATTTAATTATTAATTTTTTAATAATATTAAGCAGCAAATTTGATTTCGATTACCTAGACAGCAGTATATCTACAGAATAAATTATCTTAGCCTCTATTTTTAAATTATTATTAGGACGACGTACTACCATATATGTGTTGCCTCCTTCTTACTAACGCATTAAAATGTACCTATGTCCAACAGATCTAATTTGTGTTGTTAACTCAAATATTAGAGTAGATTCAATACTACGTATAAAACTTAAAGATAAGAGATATCATTATCTGCATTTTTTTGTTGGTTTTTACAATATTTTAATTTTTAAGTTAGTTAAATATATGAGCACATATTATGTAAAATATTAATGTTTGAAAATGTTTATAATTAATTTAAACATTTAATATCTTAAAAAAACCAACGAGAAAACACAGATAATGTTCTAAAACTGAAGGTTGATAACAGGTCAATTCACTCTAATATTTATAGGCTAACAATACAAAATTGGATCTGCTGGACGTATATACATATATTATATTCTAGTATATTTCAGTAAGACTGAGACAAATAGGTGCCTAATGCGGGCACGATCTCCTCGTTTATTATTACACAGAATACACTCGGTTTAGTGGACACTGGACGCTATCCATGCATTTGTTGTCTCCGTCTTACACACGTACGACATAGAATATTTTCGTTCACTATAGTTTCAATAGCGTGCTGTTAGTTTTGATATTTGAATGAATTGACCAAATATCAAAGTTTTAGGTAACAACATTATCCATGCTTAAGCGTCTACGGATTTTTGGATATTTTCATTTTCAAGCGAGATATAAGCATTTTTGATTTGTGTTATTTCACATAAGCGTATCTTGCTTGAAAATGAAAATATCGAAAATCCACCGACGTTTAAGCATAGATAATGTTCTTATTTACAACTTTGATAATTGGTCAATTCATTCTAATGTCAAAACCAACAGCGTAAATTGAGGGGGGCTCAAGGAGTCTTAGCCTACCATAAGACTCTTGAAGTCACCCCCAAATATTTCCTAAATTAACCTCGTATAAGTATAACAAATTATGTTAATAAGTGTTAATTTATACTTCTAGCCCACCTCCCTCCCCCACCAAACCAAAACAAAGTTTACGCGTTTGGCCAATATTTATTGAGATAGATCATTATATTTCATAAACCGGATAACATCAGTTATCAGTTAATTAATTTGTTCACAGACATGTTTATCCGGTATGGGGATATTATTCGCGAAGAAGCATTGTGGAATATACCAGTTATAAGTATCAAAAACAGAGATTTCATTGAATGTGTACTTAGACAAAGCGGAAAGTACCCTATCCGACCCCCAAATGAAGTAACAGCAAACTACAGAAAGTCCCGACCGGATCGCTACACAAATACAGGGCTTGTTAACGAGTACGTAAATTTAATTCAATGTATTTAATTTTAATTTCACAAGAACGCAGGTGAAGTTAAATATTTAAAATTTACGCATAATATGATTATAAAATGTGCTTGAAAATGAGAATTCAATGACATGAGTAATAATTATTATAGAATATAATTATGAATTAAACTAAGTATTTTTGTTTTGATAAATGTAAGTTCGTCGGAGTTATATATCATTTTTAGCTACATACCTATGATTGATATGAAACATCGAATGTGAATTGTTTAATCGGTTGTTGGCTTCATCACACTCGCAACATCTAATACGGCTTTAAAATAAAGAATAATTTTTCTTAAAAAAAATGTATTTTATTTTAGATTAATCTATGTTTTTTTCCTTTGATAAATCATTCTTTCAATTTTCATGCATTTTTCTATGCAAAATAATTTTGATGTTTCACATCTACTATAGGCGTCCCACGATGGCTCTTTTTTATTTTTATTTTCAACATAATAATAATATAATCTTTACGTGCACATCTATATTTATCTCAAGTATGTAAACCGTACACGTGTTGCAGACAAGGTGAAGTTTGGGCTAAGTTACGAAATAAATTGACACCGGAACTTACTAGTCCTAGAACAATAAGATGTTTTTTGCCAGAAGTTAGCCAGCTAGCAGATGATTTTAATAACCTAATTTTCCAAGTTAGAGACGACAATAACGTGGTCGTAGGATTCGAATCGTATTGTAACAGAATGGGATTGGAGAGTATGTGTGATCATCGATTGGACCATGCAGGTGGCAATCGTTATGCAATAAGCAATTTAGTAAGTGCTTTTTCCACGAATTGTAGGCACTTGTACATTGATTTTGGGCAGGAGACTTGGATTTTTGGACGGTGAGGTGAGCGAAACGGCTATGCGCCTGGCAGACTCCGTGACCACTCAGTTCCGAGCGTCGCAGGAAGCGTTCTACGGGCTTCCACTCTGGAAATTAATACCGACCAGGGCGTACAAAAAATTCGTAGCTAGCGAAGACGCCTTATATGAGCAAGTTCAACTTGTAGAAAAAAAGTCATGATCCGAATAAACAAGTTGCTAAAATTTTGAATTTTTCTAGAATTGTGTCCGAAATCGTGGACTTGGCGTTGATCGACGAGCAACAGTCTTGCAGTGACGTACGCAGCGTATTCGTGTCCATACTACAAGCATCAGATTTGGACAACAGAGACAAGAAAGCCGCTATTATCGATTATATCGCCGCAGGAATCAAGACAGTAATATAATATCATCCGGCAGTATCGTGTACCAAGGGGGGAGATTAGGGTTTTGACCCCTTCCATTGTTGCATAAAGATCCTTATTTGCGTATTTGGTACTACCAATATAATTCATTTAAATGTATTATTATACTTATAACAACCCCCCTGCATTGAAAATTACTGAGCACGCCACTATCAAATTGCATGTTTTATTTTTATAGACAGCCTTTTCTTTTACGCAAACGACAATGTTATAACTAATAATAAGCAATAATAATAATATAGTCTACTTCGTGTGCTGCAATAACTAAGCGCAGTCTTTAACAATAATAAACAATGCATACTGCATAATACCTACCTACTGCAATTCTAACAAACGACTAAACAAAAACAATGCATTATAATATTACACTTCGGTCTATCTCAAACTATAAAACGAGTAAGTCATACCTATAGGTAATCTTCCGGAAATGAGAAGGTAGAACCAAATCTATAGAGGTACAATGTATAACACTTTGAAATTTTGAATACATTTTAATAAGTTTTAACATATTACTTTTTTGATTATAATTAAATTACACATACCTATTATTTACCTATCTAGAATATTGGTATCAATCGATATTATAATTTATAAGGCTTGGAAAACATCCCAAAACTATGCCAATCCCCACAAAATCGGATATCCATGAAGCAAATGATTTTTTCTACAATTTTGAAATGAAATCCAGGAAAATTATTTAAGTATTCGATTTTGTGGTACAAAATTTCTATTAGGTAATATAAACGCATACAATAAGAACTGTCGTATTTTCCGTGTAAAATGTGGTAAAAAATATTGCAGGGCGTACCTTCAGCAAAATCAATGTAATTCGAACATTTTGAACAATATTCAAAACAATCATAACATAATTATTATTAATATAGAATATGAAGTAGTGTAGCGAATAAGTCATATATTTCCATAGATATGTTTACCGTAAACTAGCGTTCTTAAAATATTTGACCTGCATTTAAGTAGCCCACCGTGACCTGCAGCGAATTTAAAAAGTATATAGTGCTGCTTTATGCTTTTACTTTTAGATTACAATAAACTGACGTTGATTTATACTTGCAAACGAATCAATAATTAATATAGAAATGCAATACAGTTTTGAACACACGTTTTTTAGTTGGGAAACACTCTGGTGTTTTTATTGTACTTGGTCGCCAAACATCCAGAAGTGCAAGAAAAGATACACAACGAGTTAACATGGTTGGCTCCGGCAGGTACGCCTATTACCGCTGAACATATACACAAGGCTACATATTTGAAAGCATGTATAACCGAAGCTCACAGGTAATCGCGTTAATATCATATAAATATAGTTATTGATCAGCTTTTTGATTCGTATCTCATTCTACAGGCTTAAACCCACTGCTCCGTGTATTGCAAGAGTGTTGGAATCAGAAATAGAATACGACAATTACCGATTGCCGCCAGGGGTAATATTTTGGTGACAAGTTTTTTTTTATATTTATTAACTTTCGAGTATATACGAACATTTTTTTTTAACTTTAAACCTGGGACGGAAACCAAAACCAGTTTTTTATATTAACAGTTTTGCTCATCGATTTTAATAACCAAAATAAATAGCTTAGGTATTGGTTTTCGGTTTTAAAAACTGGTTATGAAGTATTACGGTTTTGGTTGTAACCAATTCATATACGGTTTTTTTGTATTAAAAAAAATTGTATTACAATTTACAATACCTACCTAATCATTTGTGTTCGTTGGTAGGTACTTAATAGTACGTTTACTATATGTACATAACTTTTTTCGGCCTACAAATAATTTAAAACAATTAAAAAATCTTATATTTATTATTTATACCAATCAATAAGACTGTACTGTTAGACTTGAAATAATAACATTACAATTGTAAATGTTTTTAACTTCAATCTTTTAGTTTTTATAGAAATAAATTATATAATAATAACTTTCTCAAACAATATGTTAAATATATAAAAATTGTAATCATATTAGTTATATTACATAGCAATAATAGAACATTAATAATATTCTAGGTTATACTTATAATATCTAATTTATAGTTTATAAACTTTAATGTTGTATTGAAATTTGAAATTATTAATTCAAATCAATTTTTTTCACAAAATGTTATGCTCCAATTTAAATCACACAATGCCGAATACTGCAATATTTGTGCGATATCAGCTACATATAAGCAATAAACTAATAATATATAACTATCGACACCATTATGTTATTGAAACGAAATTACAAGTATCAAATATTACATTTCAGAATCGTGAACTAAATAACTGATAATTTAAAATAAATAGGTAGGTATATTTAATGTGTATGTATGATTATCAATAGTACTACGAGTTACAATGACTGATTGACTTCTGACAGTACAATATATATTAAAGTAATAAGAATGGAAAAAGTGAATCAAACTAGTTATAATAGTAAATAATTACTTAACACTAAACGCTATAAATTATTCTGTGAAAAAAATCAGTTATGTATTCATGTATTTTAATAAAATTGTAACATATGGTGTTACAGGACAAATAAAATTAACATCGTAATTCAATTTATATTTACTTCACAAATAAAATTGTATAGTCTAAGTATTTAACCGTTATATTCTCTGAATATCGACGCTCGTCTTATGATTGGATATTCCTAAATAACATGAGAACCATTAACCGTTAAATATAAAAACCTGTTAAAAAACCACCAAAAAAAACTATAAAAAAAACTGTTTCGGATTTAGTTACCATTAAAATAATCATTGATTTCAATCTCAGGCTTTACAACTAGTATCTTGTTTTATCGCTTCCGCTCTGCAGGTTATGGTTAAGATACATTTTATAAATTTAATTTGGTTATTCGGTTAAAACCAATTTTTCTAATACCAGTTTCTATCCTTGCTTTAGACCGTCGTGTTGTTGCACACAGGGTTGGCTTGTTTGGACGAAAACAATTTCAAAGACGCTACCTCATACAGACCGGAAAGGTGGCTGGACGAGTTAACGAAAAAATCACCGTTCTTGGTCGCACCGTTTGGTTGTGGCAAACGAATGTGTCCGGGGAAGCGATTTGTACAATTAGAACTCCAAATTGTTTTAGCAAAGGTCAGTAAAATAAAACATTTACATCGGTTTTAAAATAACAACTTCTAAATAATAACTTTGTTTTAAAGATGGTCAAGCAATTCCAAATCGACTTCGAGGGACAACTGAAAACTGAATTTGAATTTCTTTTGACACCCATTAACTCGAATTTTATTCTACGAGATAGAATTTGTTGATGTTATAAAATACTTAATAAAATTAAAACTACTATAATTTAATACTGTACCTTTAGGTATATTAAATAATATTTTATATTATATTATAACACTAAATGAAAACCATCTATAATTAACAATCTCAACACAGTTCTTAGCCACATCCACATGTAATTATGTTTAGTTTATATGTAATTTCCTACAAATTAAAACTTTCCAAGTGAGAGTTAACCAAATCTTGTCCAAACTATTTTCGCAAATTAACGGTTACCCACGGCTAAAAAATTTCAATCGCTCTGTGCTTGTCGCCATTAACAAAGTTACAAAGCACTTAGTATTTTCCATCCAACCAACATTATACGCAGACGATTTCAATATTTTTTGCAGTAGTAAAATGCTAAAATTATTACTACCGCCAAAGCTCAATTATAGCCCAGTAGCTCACTATTAATAAACTGTAACTTTTTACTTAACCTTCAATACAGACGTTTTTAATCATGTCAATTAAGCTTAATCACTCAAGGCAGGCAAAGTAAAATAATAGAAAAATAATATTATCAGTTATATGAGTATCTCGATTGATCATTAGTAGCACAACAAGACAGTCACGAGTTACCTAATGAGTATGCTTTATGCCGCATGGGCAGATAGGTACTTTTTTACCGGGATATATTTATTAGGGCCACATATACCTAGCGCCAATATATTGTATATAAAAAAAATTTAACTTCTTTTGAGTTTTATTGTTGGCACATTTATTAAAAAATCTTGATCAATTATTTTTTTTTTTGCCACACTTTCGAAATTGCGTTAGGACATAATTAATAATTATATTATATTATATTATTTAATAAATTAAATCACGATTAGCAAAACGCCACAGTCACAATAGCCAATGGGAAAACTAAAATAGAAATAATAACAACTGATAAAATATTAAATAGTACCATTAGGCATAGAGTGAAAATAGGTAAATTATGTTATTGTACTTGCTTACTTCATACTTCATAGTTTATACTGTTTATCAATGTTGATGTAAGAGAAAATGATATATTAGACATTCACATTAATAAGCATTAGCTGCACAAATCGAATTTATTACGATACAAAGATATGTATATAAACGTAGATAGTAGATACGTCAAACTTATCGCCTATCACTAATCGAAATATTAATTATTATTAAGGTCCCCACTCCCCACATACTACAGCGGTCGCTGTCGTGGTGGAGGTAGCGGTAAAATGAGTCCGGACATAATTTACCTCCACCGCGGCAGCGACCGCTGTAGTATGTGTGGACCTTAATAATAATTAATATTTCGATTAGTGATAGGCGATAAGTTTGACGTATCTACTATCTACGTTTATATACATATCTTTGTATATCGTAATAAATTCGATTTGTGCAGCTAATGCTTATTAATGTGAATGTCTAATATATCATTTTCTCCGCCAAGACAAAAGAATTTTACCGCTGCAGTGTGTGGAGACTTTAATGGCGGTTGTTTATTTTTGTTATTCGAACATCAATTATATTTATTTATATTTACATTTTATATATCATTTAGTTATAGCACAATACTATAAATACAACAAAATAGATATGGATTAATACGGGTAGGGTTAACTCTCGACGTGTTTATACAGAGGCCTTCAGACAATAATGGAGTATACAAATATTACAAAATAATACCGCTAGATCGCCAGCCAGTATTATAAAAAATTACTTTTATATTGTTATTATTATTATTTTATTTTATTTTTTGGGATTCGGGGGTCTGAGTATAATACCGACGGGGACCTACCGGGAAAATCCCGATTTCCCGATGGGCCTATCCGCCCATGTTTTATGGTGTAGATTTCAGTATATTATAAATAGGTACAAGAACCTTAATTGTATAAAATTCCGAAACATTATTTTTGATAAATTACATTATTTTTAACTATTTTATCATATTTACTGAGTACCTATTATGATATCCGAATGGCGAGTACTCTATTTTATATTACTAATATACTTTACAAGACTGACGAGGTGACTGACATGGTACGTAACGGCAGCCAGTACGAAGAAGTACAGGCACTGTACCGCGGGTTACGACAACGCGATACTGTCGAGTGTCGACTCTCCCGCCGCGCCGAGGAAGACGCCGGGAGGGGGCGGGAAAGATAAGTCGCGCTGGACAAGTAACGGCCGCCGGCGATCGCCTCGCTCTCTTGCACGTAACGTCGCAGTAGCGACTCGGTCACCGTCAGCGTACTTCAGATATGGCTCAATACACCATGCCAACTTGGTGTCCTATTGTGTACACATATTCGAATCCGTCTAGGAACTATTTGCGAAACCGTTTCTTTGTGAATACCGCAATAAAGGCATTACCGTCAAGTCGCGAAAGTGATGTGTTAACGTAGTGTCACCTGCCACCACCTCACACCACATCACGACCGGCTTACCGCGCCCGCAACCACCGCCGTAGCCGTGTCGAATTGGCTACCCGCAGAAGAATATGCACCTCAAGTCATCGAGAAGGTAAACGTTTTCTTTTGACGCCGACACATGCCGCGGATTAATCGCTTATATTATGATACATATTATACTATATATAGTATTAAGATATTAAACCAGAAGTGTGTTTTCACGTTAGCTAGGACTCTTAAGTTAGGATTACGTAATAAGTATTCTGATACAAAGGGGAAAAACCGCGCGATCGAGAATAACCGTGATGCGGCAACGGGAAGCAGTGACACAACGTGCCGCCACTCCGCCCAACGCTTACCTTCATCCCACGGCACTACTACCGAAAATAACGCAAGCCAAAACTAGTTGCCGCCGCCGCAGTCGATACCGTGACCCAATTATCCTGGGTTATTCTACTATAATTGGAACTCACCGGTGCCGCCGTCACCAGCTGACCTGTGCTTACATAATAGTAAATATTTTCATACGTGTTTCCGTGAACATCGCGAGAAATTTGCGTATCCCTGCCAAATTTATTTTCCGAACCTCTCCACTGCACCGCACAGCAAGCACAAGCCACCGACCACCCAACAATAAATGTATTGACCGTATTTGTAATAATATAAATACCTAAATTAATATTACACGATGACTGGTAAAACGATACAACAGTAGACAGTGATTGAGTTACGTAGCGAGTGTTCGCTTAAAACATTGTTCATTTCATTTTTCAAACATGTTTCATTCAAAAATCAAAATGCTGATAAGTCGTATTAGTTCTTTTCTGAGTGAAATGTGCACCAGCAACACTGAACACTATACAGAAAGCTAGATTTGTAGAGTTATAACTCATACTAGTATATGTATTTATATATCCCATACCGTCGACGATAAACGATAATAATAATTGATATTTCATAACTATTTTCGTCGTGAGTAAATCGAACTGGTAAGTAATAATATTATCGTATATTAAAATAATTTTAAAGTTATTAGTAAAAGATATAAGCAATAAGCTATGAATAGACAATTTTACGGACCTAATAACCGATATAAAATATAGTCCATAAATGTTAAATATATAATATTGTTATATGGACATAAGGTTGAAGTATTAGCATGACGGGCCGGTATTTTTATTTGACAATGATTACCAATAAAAACTAATTAAGAATCAAAGGAATAAAAAAATAGTATTCAATAGTAAAAAAATCCGTAGATTAATGTTATAGTAACCGTTCGAATACTTCTAAAATAAAAGTATTTAAAAAAGTATTCGATGCGGAAAAAAGTATTTGAATACATTACTTTAAAACTTTACAATACTGTGTATTATAATAATATATAAATAGCCGAATAGAGCTCCGATGTCTATATATTTGCATGTATTTACTAGCCGATAGCACTGTATGTCTGTATGGTGTAATAGCATGTGCTTTGAACAAAGTATGTTTGATGAAAAAAACTACGAAAAACGAGAATATTTTACTACCTATACGGTGATTTTTTGTGCATAAGCTTTTTTTTGAGAACATAATTTATGATATTATTGAGCAGGGATGACAAATCCAAATCTAGTTCTAATATCTAATAATCTAAAATAAGTATGTTTTAATCGCTTTTACCTCTATATTTTAATTGCTTATTAGTGGTTATAGCCGCTATGGGAAAAAATGAAATAATGCTTACCAGTTTTTTTTTTAAATGTCTGAGATTTGTTGCCAAACATTTTCTCTTACAAGAGTGTTTTTATACAATTTGTTTTGCAAATCAAACAAACCAAGATGATTGCTTACGAGTTCAGCCAGTTTCATATCCACTCCTGGTGTAAACGGCACGACGTTTAACCTTGGTGACATTTTCCTTTTCAAAAATTGACAGACTAGCTCGCGGACACCTGTATAACCAGGACAGCTCTCGGGGAGGTCAATTTGTCTCAGCCGCAGCAACGATCTCTTGTATTTAATAACACCTGTATTAGTAAGGTGTGGTTGAAATTTGAATCTCGCCGCGCGCATAGGAATCGCGTACGGCAACTGCACAGCAGCCAAACAACGGTGCAGACCCGCGGTTTCAAACACCCGTCGGCCGTCACCCGTTCCGGGATCAGTTCGTACATACGAGAGTTACCAGTCAAACAAGTCGTACGTGTACAATGCAGGCGGCGCTCAGCCGAACACCGCAGCCACATCGCCGCCGTGAACGACCGACCGTTTTTCACGTGCAATACACAAGATGAGTACGCGGCCGGTCAAACAACAAACGCGTCCCACTAGAGATCAGTATTAATACCATACGACCAGTGGCGAAACGAACATGATCTTTGAGAAACAGTTGATATGATTTACTAGATATTTTTAATATTTAGGGGTGTGTGTTCAATATGAATCTAAGAAAATAATAACTAAATAATAATTATCGTAGAAAAATAATAATAATAATGTAATAGTACTTGTGTTCATTATAAATTGTTAGTAGGAGGGTGGGTGGGTTCTGTGTCAATTTCAATGCAAGGTCATCACTACCCGAGTTTTTCGGAACAAGGGCTAAAGAGTAAAGACCCTGTTGCCTACCGAGATGTTGCGTGATATTTACGATTTCTAACTGCGAAATGTTAGCCAGCCAATGAAAGCGCTAAAATCCTAGGTAGGTTAGGTAGATCTAACTCTAACAGATATTAAAAGTAGAACTATATCGTTCAGAACTCCAAACGTTTGATCTTAATCTACGTATTGGCAGAAACCAACCAATTTATTAAAGTTATATTTATTTGTGTGTATATTATTGACAAACTTTTAAAAAATCAAAAATATTAAACGATTTATGAAAATTATGTATACCTTTGGTGGTTATGTCATACGTTGGATATAACAGGTATACAATATTAGATGAGTGCTTATGTTCTACAATTTTTGGCGCCAATGATATGTAATTTATGTACTTTTGGCGCTTATGTCATACAGTCTAATTTTGAACGTGTTCAGGCGGCTGTGGGTGAGTTGCGGCAAGACGTGTCGTTTCCGGTGTTGGAGAGCGGTGAATTTCGGCCCGATAATATTTTTGCAGAGGTGAGTTATAGCACGGGTAATGATCATTACTTTTGTACCTATATATATTTATTTCCTATGAACCTGGTAGATGTGGTGTTGTATATACTAACGAATAACTCGATGAACGAAATGTTCAATACTTATGGGGACTGGGGAGCATTGAACTCTATACGGTATCGATTTTTCATATAGATATTAATGATGGGAATTTATATCTTTATATAATATAATAAAGATAATATTTATCGTTTTATTGTATTCTCCGCCGTATAACTTAGATTAATTACGACAGTCGGATAATTTCAAATGGCAAAATAAAAATTGTCAATGCGTATTCAGTCTGAAATCAATTGCTTTGTTTGTAAAAATGTGTATCGTTTGTATAACAGTTCTTATAATATATTATACGTAACTATTTGAATACAATTCGTCATGCAATGTGTAAATAGTAATATTAATAATTAATTTAGTAAACTTATATACCATGTTATATTATATATGTATATTTATGTAATATATACATTATACATTATTGTATGGCCGTGATTCGTACGTCCCTCTCATAAGCCTGGTTGAGGAATTGGATAATGTAAATGTCACAGATCATTCAAGATATAGAGAAGAGTTCGAAAATATGAATTTTGAAGCCGTCCCGCAAGCCGAGGAAATGGCGAGAGTTCCTGCATTAAAATTATGTGCCGATATTGCGGTAAATATCGATATTACGGTATACCGTTTCATACCGGTATCGAATCTAATTCTGAAAGTACCAGCATTCAATCACACTCACACTAATTATCATTGAAGACTAGCACTTATGTCATGGACGGCTGCACCGAAATAAAATTGCATGTTGGCCATATTGCCTAAATATAGCCCCTTAGTAAAAACACACGAGCCGCCTCTTAAGCACGCCTACCAGCTGTAAGCCTAAATGGGTGTTTTTGAAGGTGGGTTAATGAAAACGACGGATCGTCGTGTACAAAATGAATTTTTTCAGCTCGATAATTACTATCGTCTAATATCATGAAGCGGGTCCGTTGCTTGTGGAGGCTACCCATATGGCTAATCAGTTTCTCAGAAAGTATTATATTTAACGCTAGATATTATATGCAATAAGACGTGACTTGATGACCGTTCCACGATACTCGATGATCACAGGTGGTCACATCCACCATCGCCACGCGGGTGTTAAACGTAGACGACTGGTCTTTTCCTTGCGAATCTATTCTGGAGCTATTGTAATAGGTACTGTGTACAAGTAGGATCATCAGTAGGAGTGGGGGAGGGGGGAATTATAATTTTTATATTTTTTTAGTATTTAAAAAAAATTTATTTTGCTAATGTATTTTATTTCAAAAAATATTCGATTTGATACAATTATAATATTATCATTGATCGACAGACAAAAGAAAAATGATAAAAAAAACATTATTAACCATGGCAAATAGATCTATTATGTCATGATATTATTTATACTATAATTCGTAAGATTGAGTGTGTGGAGGCCCTCTCTCGATAATAGTCAAAAGTGCATTGCTTAGAAGTCTGGGAAATAAAGCAATATCAAAAATGGACATGTCTTGGTAAGAAGCTACTCGGCTTGTAGCACAGAACAATAATGTATTAATTATGTTTGTAGAGATTAGTCTAGTGAGAAAACTAACAGTTTTTAAGCATGTTAGTATTAATTATTCCGATGCTCGATCGGCTCCTCTAAGATACCCAGCCATCACCAGTAGGTTGTTGGGACTTTAAAATATTGGCTACTCGTTATATTGTGATAATAAGAAAGCCTATAAGTAATATAATTGACATTATATTAAATAAATGATAGAAATATCCTTGAGTTTTTGCCCCTCGTTATTAGAAATCTTAGTTGAGGAATTATTATTAATAATTTTAAAATTATTGATTTGAATTTATATTTTTTAATATTTCATATGCTTAGATATATGCAATAAGCCGAAAACAATTTGAGTACAATGTGGTATATTACAGCAATAAAAATTTGATGATGTTAATGATGAATGAACATACTTCAAATGTACCATAAATTCATCAAGTTCAATAAATAAATATTTACAAATAAAGCAAATGAAATCCATTGTTAAATGAATGGAAATATTTTTACAAATTTTTATACATAAATTTATTTATTTTTATTTATTTTTATTTATTTATTCAATTTAATAATATCACCGAAATATTAGTTTGAAAAAAAACATTAACATTATTAGAATTACAAGACACTACTACACACTCATTATGCATATCATAAATAAATTTCTATAGAAATGTCCAAACTAAAACAGATTAAATCAGACACTGTAAATTGCGCACTTGGAAAATTGTTTAAACATGTATCTAATGCTGTAATTATGTTAGACAATTTATAACAGGTGTTGAGACAATATACATAAAAAAATCTTTTGTACTATCAATGATGTCAACTCCAGCAATGCAAATGAATTTTTGCATTTTTTCTTTTTTTTTGCAAGCTTTGTAAAATTTGTGATTAAATTCGAACATGTAAGTCATTCATTAAAACAACTTTTAATAAGAAAAAAGTTTAGGCATCAGAAATAAATGTTCCGACTGTGTGTATTGTTTGTTAGTAATAGTAACTATTTCACATGATTTGGAAGTTGGAACCAATTAAGCATTCATTGAATCTAAAACTAAGTGATTTCTGGTTTCTGTAAAAGCAAAAATAAAAATAGTTAGGTACTTAATTTAATTAATTAAGAACATAGTTTAAATGTTGTACCAATATCTGTTTCTTTAATTTCTATTAAACTCTTGAACAATGATTTGCTGTATCCATCTTCTATATCATTAACAGATAAATCTTAACAATTAATTGATCCCACTTCACAGGCTGTGAGTTTTCTTTTGAAGGATAAATATGATTAAAATCAACATCAATCTAAAGTAAAATCAACAAAAAATAATGTTATACACAAAGTTATATAGGTCTTATATGGGCTCTCTAGTTATTACTTATTATTACTTATCTATTATAAACTACCAAGATGAACTTACAGGGTGATCAAATCAACACCCTCTCACCGATGTACGCCCACTGGATGGGTATTTTTTACTACAGATGAGACTGGCCAGATAGGGCGATGTTGGCAGTTGATATCCAAATTTTATCATTTATGATTGGCAGTCAATCATAGTATCATATATGAATGTTTCAAATATTTATATTATATTATTATTCTGTATTCATAATATTTCATACAAAGACAAAGGAATGTCAATAAAAATTATTCGCATAGGAACTTGTATTCAAATATATTTATATACTTATGTCCTCCTTTTAAATTTGAAATACATTCCTAGCCGCCTATGTACCTCTCATTGTCATTTGAATGATTTTAAAAAAGCGTAGGCAGTTATGTTTTTGCATGATTTAGTTGTATGCCTAAGCCCATTGTAAATAAATTATGAAGGTCAATCGATCATATGTAATGCTTTGCCTTTTTATCTACATATTGCCAATTTTCCATCTATTTTTTAAATACCTATCTACCTATAACCTATATTTACTTTGTTGTTCGTGATTTTGATTTAATGATTTCACAACACTAGTATTAAATTACTGTAGGTGATCAAAACAATTACTTACTATTATTTTATAAATAAGTGTTGAAGATTATTATATAAATTCAACCAAAAACTCTAGTATCTAGTATTCAGTTTTAAAAATAACTATAGAACTGCACAAAGGTGGCGCTGAACTAAATTTTACTAGGATAGCTGATGAAATCCAAAAAGTACCTCTCTGGCTACCTACACACACAGTTAAAACAGAGCTGTGGGGAACTTCATCACCAACACACCCTCTAAACTGTATACAAAAAATGTTTCTTTTATTAATTCAAGGCTCGGAAGTTATTGCACTAAAAAATTAATTTTTAGCACTTAAATATGCACATACAAACATTAATTTAAGCGCTATAAATTGCACTAAAAATTAGAAAATATTCAAAATAAAATTTTCAACAAATTTTTTTAAACATGAAATTCAAGATATATTTAATTTTACAGATTTTTTTAAATATGAAGCACGATAATACGACGAATTTGATGATAAACAAATAGTAAGATGTGGCTGACATGATTTTAAAAATAAACAATTTATTGGAAGGTTAAATTTTGGAATTGTCCGATATAATCAACAACGGTCTATGGCCGTTTATTTCAGATGCGTACCATCTTAACATAAAACAATTTGCGTTTGTTCACATATTGGTAGGCGTCTGTTTGGTAGGTAATTTAGTTTTTAAAAATATGCCCATAAATATTATTTATAACTCTAAATATGGAATCTTTCAAATGTCAAATATAAAATTTAAACATAAAGTATTCAGTTATTTATATATGAATTATAATTTATATTTTATTTTGGTAGATATGTCATTTATTAGGTTACAGACTACAGCTGAGTTACTTTATTATAAATGTTATAGAGTAAAGGTAGATTGTATTTTTCCTAAATACAGAACTATTCACTTTTGAACTCAATTACTTATTATAAGTACATATATTATTTTTTTCATTATTCAGGTATGTGACTCAATTTGTTTGCATCGTATTGCGACCATATGTTTAAGATAATTATTGCTCCACATATTTCATCGGATAATCATGAATTACAACAAAAATAAGAAGAGAAAATCCCCAAGAGAAAAATACATTCTTAGAGTATACTTACTTAGAGTAATTGTTCCAAAGAGCTAATATTTCCAAATGTATCAGTTAATATATATTTAAAAATATAACATATTAATATATTAACATATGTTAGATTAGCAAATTAACTGGTACAGTTTTTTTTTGCATATTCTAAAAAGTTTAAACAAGCCTTTTAGTTTTTAATATAAAATTAATATGGTATTTTTTGAGAAACACGTTTTATATTAAACATAAAATTATTTAAAAAACTTATGCTAAAATGCATGAGAATAAAGACAATCATTTAAAAAGGTTGTATTATATTTAAGAAATCGTCAATATATTCTTAAATATAAATATTTTTTAATCTTATATAGTTTTTGACAAGGCTAATCCTCAAATAACCACTACCATCGACTATTACATTTAGTAATATATTTTTTTTTTAATTCATGGGACACATTTTTGTTTTGTGTTGAAAAATAAATCATATATTAATATTATATTAATTTAGTTGAATAGTGCTTATCTTATAAACACCAGAGTAAAAAATAATTCATTGACAAAGTGATCAGAATTTATTTAAATTACAATAAATATCTTTGGGTTAAAAAAATTATTTTAAATTTTAAAGTTATTTCAACTGTTAAAAAAAAATTAAGTATATACAAATGGCTACAATTTGAGTTTATAATTAATTCTAAAGTAATTTTAGTTATATTAATGCAAATAATTAGCTAAATCATAAAATCATCTTAAATAGGACAAATTTTCTTATACAAATTGGAAAAAAAAACTAACTAACTTAAAGAAAAAAAAAAATGAAAGTTATAATTATTTTATCAATTATGTGTAATATTTATATTGAAGCTGGCAATTGGTTTTAATCTTCTTTCTTGTCATTCTCAACCGCTGAAGATGAAGGCAGTGGTTCGACATCCACACTACTCACTTCCACCTATAACAAATATTTTAAATAAAACAGAGGTACAATTATAAAAAACAAAAATTGATGACTCGGAGCAGAAATCATTGGGTAAAGCTATTGAAATAGTCGATATACCTATAGTCACAGTGAAGATTGTAAAAATCATCAGAAAGCAATAATATTTGAATATTAAAAACATTTAAAACATTTATTTTAATTTTAAAACAAACCATCATCAAATGAGAGGTCCTCATTTTGAGTAACATGATACGTCTTAGAGGTGCTAGGAATATGAAGGTATTTTGAAAACGACTAAAACGAGTTGTATGAGAAGGGACTCTTAAATTTTATTTGGGATAACAAATATGGAGAGTCAATTTGGTTGGTTATTTAACAGTGGACATATTTTTAATTAAATTTTTTCTAGAAAAATTGTCATCAAAATCTAGTAACTAAGAGTTATATACAAAGAAAACAGATTACTTGTAAAAACTGTCTCATTTTGAAAAGTAATTGTAATAGATGGCTACCAAAAAAGTAATATTTTAATATTTTCATTATTTTATTGATATTGTTAAATAAAAAAGTGTTTAAAGTTGTTATTTTTCAGAATATACTCGTTAATCTTATTTTCATGCTTATTTCAGATCATATTTAACGTTTTGAGTGAATAATTGAATCTACCATAACAGTTGAAAGTACAGTACTAGCATTGGCACAAATAGCATAAGTTGTATAGGTGGACTGAAGTCCTCCCTTTTAATATGGTTAGTAAAAATAATATACTGATTATCACATCTTTGTTATTACATATTTTATACCATAATAAATTAAGTTCCAAGTCCAATGACATTTAATATCCATGAAATGATCATATCATAGATATTGAACATATTGTGGATTGACCTAAAATTGTGATGATAATATGTATTATTTTATCAATGTCGTTGAACTTGGAACTTTATTTGATATGTTATAAAATGTGTAATAACGATAACGCAGATGTGATAAAAAGTCATTATGTAACTACAAAATTAAGTTTTTTCATTGACACGTATCATCAATATTAAAGTACCAGAATCCTAAAAATATCAATAATTTGAATGGATGAAAAAATTGAATGTAAATATTATTGTCCTTCATAAATCATGATATTATTTCCAAACGCATTGTTCTTTCTTTCAAGGACCTTGTCCACTAGTTTCTCTTTCTAAGCGCTGTTCATTAGATAATAGGTGTATGTCAGGGGTAGCAAATCTTTCTCGGGTCAAGTGCCAACATATTGTAATCAAAGTATTGTAATACATTCATTCAAAATCGTGTTTACAATTTTTGAATCATCTTAGAGTGAAATTATATAAGCACTATTCAATCTTCTTTTGTAGATAAAAATGGATCTATTTACAACTCATATAGTGTTTCAACTGTCATAGCAGTATTCTACAAGTATATTTTCTAATAATAACGTTATTTTTATATTTATGTAAACGTTAAAATATAATGAATTTTCAAATGGAGAACGAGCCAGATAAAAAAGATAGTAGATGACTATTCCCCATCCATTTAATACTATTAATCATAATAATACACTTGATTATAAACTGCTACAAAAATAATACATCTAACTAATTATAGTCTATAGGTATATCATTATATTAAGACTAAATTGTATTTATTTATACAAATCATAATTTTGTTTTTAATTATAAGAATAATTTAAGATTGAACTGTTGGTAGTCATTAGTCTAGGCTTCTAGAGTTTAGATTTTGAAGCAATAAAACATGTTAAGAAAAGCACTTACAATAAACCAATTAAGCTCTAAAAATTCAAGAAAATGACACACGACAAAAGGTTGTCAAGAAATGAAATGAAACATAACAATATGAAATTTAATGAGTCATATCCTTGAAACACATTATATAATATAAAAATAAATATTAAACTAACAAATGTGTTAATGCAGAACATATTTTGAAAAAAATGTTACAAAATGTTACTTAAAAGCGAGCAAAGTATCTAAAAAACCAAAAAAGAATAGAATTCCAAAAAAGTAAAAAATAAAAACATTGAATTTTTTTTCAAAATTGAATTCTGATACAACAAACATTTTTTACCTCGCTCAACATTGGCAGAAATCATGTTTAATTGACAGCCGAGGACTTCTTCTAAGAGAACCAAAACCATTTTCATAGACCTCATTTCGCTACAATAAACACAAAAAATAAATCAAGTTAAATTTGAAGTAATAACATACATAGATGTTTTGACTTACCACTTTTTCATGTGCCTTAATCAAAATTTCTTTAGGTTTTGACATGCTTATTTCTTCTTTTGCTATTATTTTCCTACGTTTTTGCACAACTTTTGTAGCTGAAGTTTCATGCATTTTTCTTTTAGGTGTACCTTCATTTTGTCCATCGGGTATTTTCTTGGAAATTATAATTGTTCTTCGTCGCAATACTTTGTGTTCAAAATTTGGACTTTCAGAGCTTTTGGGGCTCTTGAAACTCTTCTCTGGTGTAATTATAGATGTTAATGAAATACGTTTTAATATATTACAAAATTTGTTGCTTTTTGAATCAATTGAATGATTTCCATTAGGGGTTGAAACATTTTTCTGAACTTTTGTTGTTGTTTTTTGTGGAGTCTCTAAACCTTCAACTTTAAATCCAGCAGGCACCAAAAGAGGTGACCTTTTAGACGTAGACTTTCCATTGTCTACAGATACTGACCAACTATTTGTATGACTCTTGTTTAAGGCATTAGGTATACCAATTTTAATGTAAAGGGAATTTTGTTTGTTAATATTTTTCATATTTGATCCATAATTGATTTTTAAATTTATTCTTTTACATATGTGCTTATTGGAATTACTTTCTTTTGGAGTTGAATCAATTGTAATAGATTTTGAATTTGAGGTTGAAAACTTTTTTGAAATTTTTGTTGGTGCTTTTTCTGGAGTCTCTAAAACTTCAACCTTAAATCCAGCAGGCACCAAAAGTGGTGCCTTCTTTAAAGCAGACCCTCCATAGTCTGTAGATACAGACCAACTGTTATGAATAGCATTTGATACTTTAGGAGTACCAATTTTAATGATGGGAGAATTTTGTTTGTTAATATTTTTCTTGTTTGATCTATCATTGATTTTTAAAATTATGCTTTTCCTTTTGAGTTTAATGGATTTACTTTCTTTTAGGGATGAACCAACTTTGATAGATTTTATCCTTGGGGTTGAAAACTTTTTTGACATTTTTGTTGGTGCTTTTTCTGGAGTCTCTAAAACTTCAACTTTAAATCCAGCCGGCACCTGAAGTGGTGGTTCATCATCATTCATACACACAGTGTTAGTGCTGTTGTTTTTTGTTTCCTTTGATACTTTCCATGATCTATGTAAATTGAAATCCTTGTTTAATGTATTGGCATTATTAAACTTTCTGACTTTCCACATAAATTTTCCAATTTTTCCACGTTCTTCTACTATTTCACCCATCTTATTAAATTCTTTAAGACTTTTATGTACATTAACTGCACGGCCATTTTTTTTACTCTTAGAATCAATTATTTCCAATTGTTTGACTCCTTCGTATACCATTTTAGATACATATTTTTTCTTTCTTTGCTTTAATACTTGACTATTTAGTTTCAAGTCTTTTGGCTTACAGGGTTGGATACTATCTCTCAAACAGCTATAACATTTTATTGATTTAGTTAATTCCAACGAACACTTTCTGGTAAAATCAACTTCAGTTACATATTTATTCAAAACCTTTACTACGTCTTGAGGATTGAACTCGATGCAAGTCATTTTTAAGTCATTGTATGATTTGCCTGGTTTACCAATCTAATGTAAAATATTGAAATTAAATTAAGTTATGGAACTACAATATTATTGACACCTAAATAGATTAATTTAAATTAGTGATTGAACAAACTGATAGAAATTTCAGGAAAATGTTTAAACTTAACTATACATCTGGCACAATTCTTAAATCAAACCATGAAATGAATCTTATTTAGGTTAATATTATTTGTAAAACTTCAATTATTTTTAAATATAAATTAATAAATACAAATAAAAGTACATAATTATGTATAATATATTATATAATTAGCATTAGTATTTTAAATAATACATTTTTTTTTAATATCCATGTATTTAATAAACTATACAGCTATTTTAAGTTGAGATAAATACTGATTTAATAGGACAATTATAAAATTTATACCTAAAATTAAATCAAAAACTATTTTTCTAAATTCTACAGTCAAAGATTAATAAGATATTTGAATACTTAGTTTCAGCTTTTTTTTTTTTTTTTAAAGAGGTTGGTTTGGGTTTTTCCAATCACTAATATAAATATAATAAAGTAAATAGAGAAAGAAAATAGTTGTTTAATTACTCACTTTTCTCCGAGCTTGAAACTTGGCTCCTAACATTTTCTTAACTTCAAATGGTAGAGATAGAAGATTTATAAATACATTTTGGGTAACTTCTCTTCTTAACATAAAATCATTGAGCTCCGAATTGTAACTTAGGAATGAATCTAAAATAATGACCAATGATTCATTTGGCATTATTCCTCTACTTACCTAAAAAGATATATTAACACAATTTTAATAATTATGTACATAAAAACCAAAAAAATACATACTTTAGCTAGTTCTTCCAAGAAAATGTCTTGTAAACGAATTCTTAAACTAAGAGTGAATGATTCGAAGGCTGTATATAGAACCTCACTCAATTTAATCATATTCTCAAAATTCCAATCACAAATGAAAAAGGTAAATAGAAATTGTCTTAAACAACGCCTCACCAATATCATACATTTATCAATATGATGCTGAGTTGTTGACAAACACTCATCTTTGATGGTCATAAAAAGTGCATTTAAAAATAATATTTTTCCTTGATAAGAAGTACAACTATGGATAAGATAACTTATCTTTTCCATAGCACTTCCCTGAAAATGTTAATTTAAAATTGTATTAAAATATAATACATACTTATATTATAATAATTGTATTATAATAAATATTTGTATAATAAACATATATTATATCTAAATAAAAGTGTCTATTATTTTGTCGCATTTTCTATCACTGAATTTAGTGATTCAACTAAGATGCTTCATAATACACTAGGTATAAGCATAGGTCTTACAATATTATCAGGTCTAGTTGAGACTATATTTCAAGACATTTATTATTACAGAATATTAATATTAATATTATTATTAAGTAAAATATAATAATATATATTTAATATTTTATTTATGACAAATAGTTTTGAATGATTATTATGTTTTTCTATTGAAAAATAATATACTAAATAATAGAATTTTTAAGTGGTAATTACTGATTTAAAATGCTCAAAAATAACAAATGATGGATAATTGATAAATATTCTGAAATAAAAAGTATCTAATGTCAAATTTATAGATGTATATTTCCTTAAGATACACAAAATATTATTTACTTGAGGTAGTAGTTCATCAGACTTCCACATAAAGTTAATCAATCCTCTCCATATCATCAAATAATCATTCAATTGAAATGCTAAAAAAATTCATAAATTATAATTAGTATTAAATATCAACTAAAGAAATAATGTTTATACAGTTTCCAAATTTCAACAACAAGATACAATAAAATCAATGTCAAAATATATCAATCTTTCAGCTAGTTATAAACAAGCTAAGTTAACAACAGAAAAAATTTTGGATTTAAGGGGGTGATGGCTGCTACAGAAGATAGATATGTTTTATCACGCTGTAGAATACTATCTCAAAAATGAATACCAGTGATATATGGGAGCAAAAACTATGTGTTTATGACTGAAATTAAAATCAATTTATTTTACATTTGACCTTGGGTCAAGTCAAGCACAACAGTCTTACATTTCTCTTACTTCCCATTATGTAACATATAAATTCAAGCTCAAAAATAAAACTCTCGGCTGTTCCTAATTTTCAAAAGACCCTACAAGTAATGCCATACACAATAAAATTAAAAATATGGTTACAGAATAAAATATTTAAATTGAAAATGGTTACTGGTTACTCAAATATATTTATTATAATATTATAATATATATATTTATTTTGTGACAATATTATTTACACAATAATAGGTATAGTTTAACAATTATTAATTTAATTTTTATTTAATAATTACATGTATTACTATTTTATTATTTATTAATAGTTCAATACTTTGTGGATATTAAATTTATGTTTGGTATTTTAAATAAAATACTCAAGAAGTAAAGACAATGAGTTAACAATAAAATATTAACTTATAGCTTTAAATTTGCTTATAAGGTTTACAAAACTTAAATAATTTATTTTATTTTTTTGATAGTAAATGCAAACAACCGGTGACAATTTTTATTTGTTACAATATATGCATTATATTAGAGATATGTATAATTTTAAAACCTGAACTAAAAAATAAAAAGTTAGAATCAATAAGACTTGAATAAAATACAATTTGATAATAGTATTCAATTGGTTATTACTTATTTTGGTTTAACATAAGACTATAAAGTTTGATTTGACATTTAATTTAAAGTTTTAAAAGTTAAGATTAGGTTCAGTTTCGTAATGAAATATATGGTACAGGTGTGGTTTGTTGTTGAACAAAAATTTGGGTTCAAGTTTGATATCATATGCATTGTTCGGTTCGACATGCGATTAAAAAGTTCATTTCATTTTGAGACCATATTTTGGAGTTTCACCCACCCCTAATTTATTACTTTTTAGGAAATACAAACATTTATATTTTTTAATTTATTGGTGCTTAAACCAGAATTTCATTTATTACTGGCTACATGTTTTACAATTTATTAACACTTTCATGACAAGATATACTAATTTTTAATTCAAAGCTTGTTAATATTCAATACATATTTCATTAGTAAGTCTTAATCCTGTATAGAGTTACATAATACAAATAAATAATAAATATTAAAATAAAGTTAATAAAGTGTAAATATAACAAACCATCACTCGTGTCTCCAGTATGTTCCAGTAACAGTCGATTAATTAGTGCTATACCGTCATTTCTAGTTTCGGGATTAATTGATACCAATGATAGCCTCGTAACTTCTATTTCTTTTGCCACCAAATCCATAAGATCATCCGGAACTTCAGTAGCCATTTCTCGTTCTAAAGGATTTGTTTAAATTTCTTGAAAGTCGTCTCAACTGATACAACTTTATTGAAACTGAATTGACTCTAAACAATGTTCTCAACACTTATGAAAATAACAATGGAAATCATTAAATAATAAAAAAATATAAACCTTAAGTTTAAAAGTAATAACACGTGTGTTGCACACTTGCATGAATAAAATACAAACTATAAAGTCTAGCTCTTGATAAACGTTTTATCACAACAAGCTAATACGTTTACAACTTCACCTTATTGGGTTCACAACTATAATAATGTATTTAAATTTACTGGTATAGGGAAATCTCATGATTGGTAGTGTGGTGCGCCACGTCATACGACTCTGTGCACGCACTCTGGTTGTTCGCCTCAACTGGCTAGGGTAGCTTCACCCTCCCCTACCCAGTCAAGATACCGGCAGACATCGCGATATATAAACAAGCCACGAACACCTGACCAACGTCCTCAAGGACTCCGGCCGGTCAAATATTTTGTGCTTCCCGCCAAAATAGATAGTCTTATATGCTATCACCGAAAATTTTTCCAAGACAATAAGAACAAATTATTTGTAGTTTTGTGAAGGGGGGTACTACTCAGTATTTACTAGTTTGTCAGAACTCCACACAAAAAAAATATACCAGTACGTGTGTGTTATATTAACTTACGAAAATAATTTGACTTAAAATTTGTACGTTGGCATAAATGATAAATTATTGTGATGCAATGTTGGTACCAAGGTGGATGGTTGGTACAATGGGGGCAAATAACCTGTGGCTGACGCTGGTCTGTATCGAGGCGCGCATTCTATGCATTTCATGATATTATGACAATGGAGTTTTCCTGGATGCTGATGTAAACCATAATTTGTGTTTACCACCTGTTAGACGTCTGTTGTCCTTTCTCCGTCTGTCTGCTGCTGTACGGTGTGTTATTGGATACTTATTTGGAATACCAGTCATATAGTTCAAATTAATAAATATTTCGATTGAATTATCTGAGAGCTACAACTAGTATTTTCATTTTCTATCGCTGATCGCCAACGTATTGCGCAACGGTAAGGCATTCTGTCCAACAATACAGTAAGTAGTACTTTAATGTAAAATTTATGATGCAATTATCGTATTTATGTTGTATAATAAGTATTTAGTTATAGTACTATTTAGTATTTACCTTTACTATTTTTACCCCCAATGGTCTAATTGATGTAAGACGACTCCCCTATTTTTTGTCACTGGAGTAGTAAAAATACAACACTTTAATTATTAATTGCTTTAACGCGCTGCTTACCATTCAAATCCTGCATTTGTCATTTGGTAGTCTACATTCATTGTTGGTGGGTCGTTAGTCGTGACTCGCTACCGTTATCGGTACCTACTGTGATCACTGATCATTAAACCTGTCGTGTGTACTCAGAATTTTTGGCCGATGTTCCTTTCGTCGTCCCTTTCGCGATTGCACTCTGATTTCATCACAACGTTATCGGCTGTGCGATCACCCATATCTGTATTATTATTATGATTTATTACTCTATGGTGATACCCAATTTGTTATTTATGTGCCATACACAGCCACACAGGGTGTTGTAAGGCACTGGCACCTATTGTTTATAGCTCGACAACATTAACCAGTCAATAATTTCGTACACGTTGTCTCGTTTTTAACCGCATCAGCTGTACGAGACGTATCCGTACATCGTAATACAGTTATTATGCTATCATGAGCTATGATAATATTTGTATGATATTCTTTTTAACTAACTTTCATGGCTTCACCTGTACGGCCAATCCCAACTTAAAAACATAAAATTATGAGCTCGTGTTTTTATTGCTTCGGCGTTTGTCCCCCGCCATACGCGGAATCGGATGAATTTTCAGATGTGGATCACATCCGTGAAATGTGTTTGCTTTTGTCCTCATGTATTCATAAAATTAAAAGTACCTCTTAATATTTTTATTTCATATTTTATTTCTATTGATCTGTAAAAACAACTAGGCAGCAAATTTAATTATAGTTTAAGTATACATATTTCAATATTTGAATATTTCTTTAAAATATGATAAAATATAAATATTTTAATATCTTTAGTCCACGATTTTAAATTTCAACTTGACACCATTGATGATTGACCAATGATCACTACTGCAAGGTACCTAATAATAATGACTAATCTTAATTTATTATCATATTATATAATGTAGGGATGCTGAAAAAATTACATTATATTATTCAAATACATAAGCACATTCATGTTATTTGCCGAATACATAAGAAGTTATCTTGATATTGGTGTTTAATTATTATTTATGACTATAATAAATTCTAAAATCTTCCAGTTTGCTCATATTGATATTTTTTCATTATTAGTTCATACAAACTGACAAAAGTATGTACATAGCCATAATTAAAGGTACAAAATATTGTACACATACTGTAGTATAATTAGCTATATCAATTTTTTGTAATAATATTTTAAATGTATCACCGACTATTGTTTTGCTACCATCATACATATTATACTTCATGTGTGCTCAATACATTTTTAATAGGTTTACCCACAAATTACATATAACACATTTTTTTAATTGAGTTTAACAGTCACTTAATCATTGCATATTGAACATCTATCTTAATTATTGGGATTACTTGAACTAAACTGTTTCAGTCACAGACAAACAGTATAATCATAATTTATAAACACCCTGTATCTGATTACTATCATCGTACCCATTTTATACAGTTATTAATGTTATTCATCAAAAAATCGATACTCTTCTAGTTGCGCCCGCCACTTACTAAAATGTATATTAAAATGGTATGAAAATTATTTAGAGCATTTATCATACTGTACTACTGTAGTTATAGATTAAATGTGTTCCGCTGTCACCAGTAATATTTCTATGAATAATAATTGTGTTCTGCAAAAAAATAATGCCTTTGAATCATCAAACATATCACTAAAAAATTGTTGAAAATACATGTTTTTTATTTTAGTACTTACGGTGAATCCAGTTAATTATATTTATTGAAGTACAGTACCAATACAGTACCTGCAGTTATACCTTATATCTCATATCAATAATTTTACTATACGGATTTCACCAAACATAATTTATCTTAAAATATCTAATAAGTGAATTTCGCACAAATACCTAATGTATAATTTTTGTACCTTTTTTATCTGCAGTAAACACATTTTGTAATAATTTCCAAATGCTTAAGCAAATTGACTGGGACACATCTATCCTCACTCTTCAGTAATTCAGAATGATATTGTAATATATTTTACAATGGACATTTTTAACTCTAATAAAAGTAATTGTTAATTGTATTATAAAGGATGTTATTAATGCATGTTATTAAAAATACTGAAAAATGTTTGACTATTTTTTTTTCTTTTTGAATATATTTTATATCATATTAATTGTATATTTTAACTTGGCTTTGATTTAAATAAATTTGGACCCCACTAATCTTGCACTGATTATGTTCAAAATAAAATTATTAAAATGACGATCAATTTAATTTTATAATACATTCCAATTATACATCCATGTTATTATTACATACAATTTAATTATACATATAAAAGCAATTAACTGAACATGAATATGTGTGTATTATGCAAATATGCAGTGAATGTGAACGCATTTTATTTTCTGAACACTGCACTTGGATACTTGACCAATATTGGGGACGCTATACCCAAGTGTTGTCTACATCCATAAACTACTGGGTTTTGTTTTACTTGAGTTTAAATTGTGGCTCTTAAAAAATAACTGAGATCACAACAAATGTTTGGATTTTTTTTGCATTAATGAGAAGAGTTATAAGAAAAATCACAAAAATATACTAGAAGATAACAGTTATATAGTTGTCCATGTACTATATTTAAAGTTATATATCTGTATTCTGTGGAGAAGATCGAGAATAAAATTTAGCTACTAATTATAGGTAAGATTCTTAGATCATATTATAGGTATTGGCTATGTCACAATATTTGAAGCACATATTATAAGTGATGAATCTCTAGTTGAGATGTACTTTTTGCACTGGTGTGTGTATATTTATCGCTTATTTATTCAAATAGCTACATTCTCTCTGGAAATTTGTGAGTGACAACTGGTGTGATAAAGATGCAACGATTACTCACTTGTTCGCAGATAATGCATCTCAATAAGAGACTAGTTCAAATTCTTTATATAGGAGAGATAGGTTATGTGTCCATCCATAAAGTATAAAAGCATTTAAAATATTTTTTTTACAATTTTAAGTGTACATAATGGTAAACCACTGCCTGAAATGTATGTACAAATGCCTACATAGTCTGAATTTTGGTTTTAGTTTCGGTTTTCAATCAACTTCTACACTTGCAAGTCTTATGCATCCATATATTAATGTGTCTATGTTTTTGTACAACCTTGTTTTGAAAATTTGGTATATAAATTACTTAAATTATTGGAAGATATATAAAACCATTAAAGTATTTTAAATAAAAGTTCTCTCTTTTTATAATATTGATAACGGTTCATGGAGATTTTACATAATACTAATATATATATTATATATACCAATCTTGGCCAAACTTTGTTTGGTAAAGATCTACTAAAAATATATTTCACCTTTGAGGATCGACTTTCATAGAAAAATGTTTTAGTCATACAGATAAAACTTATCTATAATTTGTTCACTATAAACTCGATTAACTTTCGTATGAGTATCCCTAAAAATAAATTCTAACATGATCGACTTTGAAATTGTCCGCAATTGACCATTTGGCCGCCCCTGACATATACTGTATAGTACTAAAGTGTGAAAACAATTGAATTAAGCTGTTGTTTTATTATCTACTGTAAATGTTCTAGTCTCTAGAATAAACTAACAGATAATCATAGAGCGCTGTGAAGTCTAATAAATAAGATATGCAGGTACTTTATAGTTATATAATATGTGCTTACCTGTGGAATAATGCACATAAATATATGACATTTTTATCATAAAGCTGTATGTATTTATAGAATTAAATATGTTGGTATATTTTAATATATGATTGAGGTTTATCGAGAAAACATGTTTGCAGAAAATATAGGTATGAATGATAATTAATAATTAATAATAAATTAATTAGTTAATAGCTATTAAGTATTACTTATTTTTGTTTGGCGACTAATGAATAATGATATAAAGTTTCTTTTGGAAAATAACTAAGTTAGTAAGATAAGTGGAAGTTTCCATGTAACTTTTAATTTAACTGAGTTAAAAAAAAAAATTAAAATAACTATATTCTATCAACTTAATTTAACTCAATTAAAAATGATCATTTATTTGCCCATTCTTGCTATTTCATGTGTTATTTATTATTTCATTCACTGTGCCATTGGACTATGGCTGTTAATGTATATCAATTAATTAATTAATTAAATAAACATACCTATCTAGCTTATTTATTAGTCTTCACAGTGCTCTATGATTACTGGTCAATGTATCCTAGACACGGGAACATTTACAATAGACAATTAAACAGTAGCTTAATTAAATAATTGTTTTCACACGATACAGTATACAGTATACATATCAGTATAATGTAAAATCTCCATCAACCACGAGCAATGAAAAAGGGAACTTTTATTTAAAAGACTCATTGTTTAATATATTTTTTTATGATCGAATATAATAATAAGTAGTATATTATAATATACACACAAATTTTTAAAACGGGGTTGTACCAAAATCGAAGACATATATGGACTGTGCAAGAAAGAAAGCTCAATGTTAAAGTGGATTGGTTCAATTTTTTTTATATTAACGTATTTATACTTACAATTTTTTACAATCAAAATATAAAAATACTTGCTTAACTGTTAAACATGTCGGGGGGTTGTGGGAGGTGGTGGGCGTGGGTGGTCCGAACCCCTAAGTCTCCCTCCGCAGTTACGGCCTCGACCATTGTTAATGTTAATTTTATGTAAAAGGTTTTTTTATAATATTATATCAGCTGTCAGATACATTGAAAATTCAAGATAACAAAACCGTTTTGATATCTACTGGCGGGGTCTTATTGATATCCGAGGACAGCACGGACTACCTATGACAGTATTACTGTCTGTGGTAGACAGTAATATCGATACTGTTTGGACAGCATAACGCTGATAATGGTGACTCGTATTTCTGCGCATGCGGGTAAACCTCACCGGTGTTAGTGCGTCGTTTAACAGCCGCGTAATTTATTGTATCGAATAATATATTTCCATCGTGATTCATGAATATGTCGACGTATATTATCTTCTTGCAAGTAGGTTGTAAATAATATAATATGGACTATCGTGGGTGAAATCATGACAACACATGAGTACGTATCATGTATTTATGGTATTGTATTTGTCAAGGGTGAAATATTGTAAAACAATTATGTCGAACGAAAAATGTGAGTGTACACTATTAATATTAATGGTACTTGTGATGCCATCGCTGTCAAAGCTCCACTCAGCCACGCTGGCCCACAGCTGCTGTAAATGCTTCGTCAAATGATACGATATATATAGAGTCTATAATGGTTTGTAGTTTGTACTACAACTTACCATGCACCACTATCGTTACTTCTCGAGCGCTTCTATCGATAGTTAAACAGTAATATAGTACCTCGGTATATTCAGTCGACTATCTTTTATCTTTCGTCATGATATTGATTGTTGAATTGTTTACTGTTGTAGACGATCTGTTTCAATTTGTTTTTTTTTTTGAGCTCGCACGTTGCACAAATATTCGATTACATTATAATAATATTGTACTGGCGAACGATTGTACCATATGCATCGTTGTCTGTATAATTAATAACCAATCATTTTTTTCCCACCAGGCGTAAGAATATAATTGACATGGACATCGAATCACTGTTAAAATACTTGCGTCAATATTTCCATCACTCCGACTTCAAAAACGAAAAGCAGAAGGAAGCTATCTTAACAATATTGAAAAGTAAGTACTTACACTGAATTAATTTTGCTATTGGGTTATCCTATTTGATTAGGTTTCATTTATGGTTTTTTAAATTTCACTTACGTGTTTGTAGGAAACACAGATGTTATCGTGTCGTTTCCGAGTGGTCATGGCAGGACAATGTGCTACCAACTACCCTCTTTAATTTATTCAAAGAGAATGACAATAGTGATCATTCCTCATGTTGTACGGATAATGGTGAGTGTCAATAAATTATCCGACAAAAATTGATGGTATTAAATATGTAGGTATGTAAGTAAGTAATAACTAATAAATATTGTTTTTGTAGGACCAAGTTAATAGATTGAGAAATTTGGAAATTCATACTGAAGTTATATCTACATTAACAACTGCTGATGAAAAAATACGTATATATGGTGATTTACAATCTGAATTTAGAAAAAGCCACTTTCTTTATGTGACTACCGATCAAGCTTCAACTACAGCCTTCAAAGTCAGTCAATATAATACTATATTAAATAAAATCGTTACTATGATTGATCTTGATTTTCTTTTCAGCAATTGTTGTCTCATTTAGTACAAACTAACAATTTATCATATATCGTTATCGATGAATCACATTGTGAAAACGAATGGATTTATGGTCAAAAGAATTATGATTATCAACCACTGGGCATGTTAAGAAGAATGTACAAGGAAATTCCATGGATTGTGGCTACGGCTGCAGCCGGTCTTGATGTAGATAATAAAATATTAATTATTATTGATGTAACTTTTTCAATTTTTTTAAATATCATATAATATTATATTATAAATAGGTTATTGATTTCATGAGGAGGGCTTTACACATGAAAAAGGATCTTAAGACTTCTATACGGTTTTCGATTCCATGCCACAGACCTAATTTATTTTATGATGTAGTTCAAGACAATATCAATGGAGTTTCTGTTCCTCATTTAAAGAGCTTCATTGACAAATATTTAACTGAAGAAAATATGAATCATAGAGTAAGTATTATATTTTTACAATAGACGCGTGTTAACTCTAACATATTATCTTTTAGCCTGACTCGGAAAAACCTTCTGGATTAATATTTTGTAAGAATCGAGAGGTTACTGAACAGTTAGTCAAAGATCTAAAACAAAACGGTATTTCGATTGCTGCTTATCATGCCGGTAAATACATTAAATATGTTTAATTTAATATAAATATCCTACAAACTATTTTAATTTTAAACAGGGCTAGAGGAAGCTGATGGTAATGCTGTTAAAGACTCGTTTATGAAAGGACATTATCAACTTCTTACTGTCACCAGCAGTTCTGGAATGGAAATTAATAAAACGAATATAAGATTAGTAGTACATTGGGGCTTGCCGGCTAGTGTGCCCGCATATTATAAGGAATCAGGTCAAGCTGGAAAGGACGGTAACCCAGCACGATGTCGAATCTACTTAACAAAGCGAGCCACATCATACTATAATTCAAAAAATGAATCTATTATGGCTGATGCAGTGACTGAAATCTGTACTGTTCAACATATAAAAAAATCATCAAGAAGTTTCCTTGTGTTTCTTCATTCTCGTTATATGAAAGATTACTGTGAAGGCTTAAAGTATGATATATGATTGGTACCTATAATATTGTATATAATAATATTATTTATTTAATATTTGTTTGTTAAAATAGGTGTAGACACAGAGTTTTTTCTGATTATTTTGGAGATGAAACAATGAAGTGCATTGATAAATGTGACATATGTTTCCTAGTGTCTCGTGGCTTTTATGGTGGACACAATGCTATTGAACAGTATATTACATAATATTTTCATAATTTTAACGCTATATAAAAAAACTAACTTAATTTGTCAAATTTTTATTTAGAGAAATGCTACAAAAGGGGATGAGTACTTACATCAAAAATATTTGCGCAAAATATCAAGAGTTACAAGAAAAAGATATGCTTACAACTACATATGCATTAGATATAATGAAGGTCTGTAATGAATTTGGGAAATCCTCAAATTCAGACAACCCTAAAGCTACACAAACAACTGAGAAATCTGAAGAAGCGGTAAGATCAAATGATTAATCATTTTATTAAGTACATATAAATGTATTAAATAAGATTTTTTTGAAAACTTAAGTTTTTTACAACTTAAAATTTAGTTTAATGTATCCATCTTAAAACATCCCCTTGAAACTAAAACTCTGTCAGACTCGGATAGCTTTTCAACCTAATTGTAACAATCCTCTCAAAATTACATGTGTCCCAATTTCGAAAACAAAACTTCCTCTGGCCCAAAAAATGTTTGCAAACTTACTTTCTAGATAACCCTCATACATTAAGTGGTTCTAAAGCATTTTTGTAAGTAGACCCTCACACAATTGGACCATTTTATATCAGTATAGATTCCACTGTTGCTAAACATTATGCCAACAGTATTTGTATCTAAAATATTTCGAAATTCCTTGGATATAAAAAAACATTTTCTGATTTTTTATTGTTAATTGTTACAATTAAAATATGTGATACCCATTTTAGATTTTGGTCAAATATTAAGCCTAAATATGAAGTGAAGAGTACCCTTTTTAGATTAAATTCATTTCTTTTTAGATTACAATAATTTATATTCTTTCCACAAAAGCATCTATTTATGTGTAATATTAGAATAATTTTCTTTGGAAAATATGTATCAATATTGATTATAAATATGGTATTTTTAAGTACACATATAGTATTTATAATTAATGATATTAGTAAGGAAAAAATTTATTAACATGAAATTATAGAGATAAATCAATTTTTGAATACTAGGTATCTATTTACTGTTACTAATTTTAAATTTACTTTCGTGTCAGCCTCTCACCAATTCTCAATATCAAAAAATAATACTCTATCATTAGTGAATGCTAATATAACTCCATTTTCTATCTAACTCAAGAAAATCGCTTCTATAAATGGAAAAAGGAATAAGTCATAAAATTGGTTTTTTGCTTTATAACTTATCTTCTTGTTGGAAAATTATTGATTTTTTCATTTATTTTTACTGATTGTAGCTTATTATGCAGATAAGATTTAAACAAAAGTTAAAAAATACTTCTTTCTACCTATTTTTTTTTTTTAAATTAATGAAACTTATGTAGTTAAATTTTTGATCATTTTTCTATTATTTTAGTGATTGCTGAGATTACCGATGTAGAACGATAATTCAATATTTCTCTTAAAGCTTTGGAGACTTCAAATTAAAATAAAATAAAATCAATAAAATCTTTATAATGTTCTTAAGCTAGTCCGAGTTTAGAATACAGATCTATAATCTGGAATCTTTAAACTGTTTTTGACTCTGGTTAATTTGTACATGCCTAACAAAGATATTTGAGATTTGCTTGTTTTGTGTGGGGCATACCCCATTTAGCTCACAACTATTGATCCAAAATTTTCTATTTATTTAACCGGCCTGCTCTTGCTAAACAAAGAAAAAATTTAACTAAAAATATGTTCACGGTTAAATAACCAATCAAATTGACTCTCCATATTTGTTATCCCAAATAAATTTTAAGAGTCCCTTCTCATACAACTTGTATTCAAAATACCTTCATATTCCTAGCACCTCTAAGACGTATTATGTTGCTCAAAATGAGGACCTCTCATTTGATGATGGTTTGTTTCAAATTAAAATAAATGTTGTAATTGTTTTTATTGTTATATTCAAATATTATTGCTTTCTGATGATTTTTACAATCTTCACTATGACTATAGGTATATTAACTATTTCAATAGCTTTACCCAATGATTTCTGCTCCAAGTCATCAATTTTTGTTTTTTATAATTGGACCTCTGTCTTATTAGCAAAAATTCTAATATTTTAAATATTTGTTATAGGTGAAAGTGAGTAAAGTGGATGTTGAACCACTGCCTTCGTCTTCAGAGAATGACAAGAAAAAAGATTAAGACCAATTGCCAGCTTCATTATAAATATTACACATAATTGATAAAATAATTATAAGTTTCATTTATTTTTTTGTTAAACTATGTATTTTAATTTTACAAATTTGTAATCATTTTTATATACATAATTTTTTTAACAGTTTAATTAACTTTACAATTTAAAATAACATTTTGGAATCGAAGTATGTTTATTGTAATCTTAATAAATGCAGATCACTTTGTCAATGAATTATTTATTAAACTGTTTTCATAAGAGAAACACAACTTAAATAATTTAATATGATTAATAACACAAAACAAAATTTTAAGAATTAAAAAAAAATTTTATTATATTAATGTATTTTTATATTATTTAGTGCAATAGTTGTAACTAAAGGTTATTTGAGTCTTAGCCTTGTCAGATAAAAATTATAAAAGATTCTAAAATATTTGCTAATAAAAGAATATATTGACAATTTCCTATGTATTAATTTTAAAATAATTTTATTTACTGTCTTAATTTTAATATAAGAATTTAAAATAATTTATTGTTTAATATTCAACATTTTTCTTAAAAAATACCTCTTTAATTTTATACTAAAAACTAAAAAGTACCCATATACTTTTGAGAATATACAAAAAACTGGTGCAACTTAATTTGCTAACCAATATATATGTACACTAATTATACAATTTTAATTGATACATTTGGAAAAATTTACTCTTGGGAAAAACTCTTTAAGTATATGTATACTCTAAGCATGTATTTTCTTATTTTAGTAGTAATTCACGATTACCTGAAGAAATACAGTGAGAAATAGTTATCTTAAATATATGGTAGCAATGCATCTGTGTATAAAAGTTGAGTTACATACCTGAATAATGAAAAAATATTGTACTTCTTATAGGTGTTTAAGTCCAATAGTGAAAAAATGTATACTAATTGAGAACAGTGTTTAGGGAAAATGAAATCTACGTATACTCTATTGCATTTATAATAAAGAAATGCGTTGTAATCTACACATAATAAATGCAAACCAACCAAAATACAATATAAATTTTAATTCATTTAAATATAACTGAATACTGGATGTATAGATTATTTTTCTCAAAAATTAGTTATTAGTTATATCTACCAAATTATTAGTGTATAAATAAATTATTGATATCAACTTATTATTACTAAAAATAAAATTAAAATAAGATGAAGTACCCAAATGAGTCATTTAAATAGAATTATTCAATATCCTTAGAAATAGTGGCTCTCAGTCCACTACAACTTAAATCGTTTTTCATATGCAATGATTAGGCATTGATTTTTTATAGTTCAAATTTAACATACACAGACATACAGTGACTTAATGACAGGGCAGACTTAAAACCTGCAATGCAGTAAATACAAGTAATAATCTGTTATTGTGTAGGTTTTTGTGAATCATAAATTAGTTGTGTTTATTGTGATTGTATGTAATTTATTTTCATTTGATTTAATTTATATATATTTAAATATTAATTTTTCAGATTGAAATTTCAATATGTTGAAATAATTACAAAAAATGAATCGTATTAAGAATAAATTAAAAAATATAGTATAACTTTATGTAAACATATAAAAAATAATGAAAATAAAACTTTTTTTTAATCGATGTTCCTTGCATATTTCTTATAAAATAATCTTTATGTATAAAATCCAAATACCACTTAGTCATTGATCGCTGTAACTCAAAAACAACTTAACGTACGAACTTGAAATTTGGAATGGAGGTTCTTCTCATATTTTCACCGTGCATTAAGAAAGGATTTTCAAAGATGTTGCGTATTAGTGGAGTAATTAACAATTATATTTGTACTGTACGGCACGGCTGCCCGCGGTCTTCTAGCTACCTGAAACTTATCATTTTTGTCCTTCATGTGGATAAGAATTGTTCCGAGTAGGTATAGGGATATATATTGTATATATGAAAAAAACAAAAATACGCACGGGCGAAGCTGGGTAATTCAGCTAGTATAGTATATTCTTACAAGATAACGAGCTTAAATGCATATTTTATAGGGCATATTTCTGAGATTTTTAGAGCATATAAATCCGGGCCTTAACTATGAGCCTATTATCAGTATATAATTATCCTTTAAAATACTAAAATAAATTGTACCTAGACAAAATGTAATTTAAGATTTTTAACCATAAATGACAAAAGTTGTAAGCAAAAAAATTGACAACAGTATGCGATTGGATCAGGCTGTCCAGTATTGCGCATATTGCAAGTGCCACAGAACGTGCGCGCTACTATGCTTGGTCATGGGGAGCAGGAAAGAGACAAGTCACAAGTGACAATAGAAAATTTAAGAATACTCGATAGGTAGCGACAACAAAGTAAACGAGGCAAAGAGGCAAATATTTTTAAGCTATAACCAGTTCCTATATTGATATATTGTTACTAAGTGGATGTGGTGCATTAGAAATATACGGTAGAGTGATGTAGGTATTATAAAATATATTATTATGAACCGTGTAGTTTCTAATAATAAATAACAAAACTTAACATGAATAATATTATAATAGAAATATGTTTATAGGCATCGAAAATATGTCGTAATGGCTTATTTTCAAGTCATTATGTACCCCGATTATTTTCATGGATTACGTTTATCATTTTTCAGTCGATTAAATCAATAATTTTAATATTTTAATTTTTTCAAATAAAATAACTATAGTCCACTATATAGAAATGTATCCTCTTAACTTGTACAACTCGCCACTCACAAAAAACCAATATTAAAGATGATTTATTTAAAATGTATAGAATATAATCATTAATCCGTATAGATACATACTGATATATCATATATATATATAATATCAGTATAGGTACATCATTTAAGACATAAGTGTAAATATATTATAGGTACCGTTTAGTTTGTAAAATTACCTATTATAATTTATTAGGTACCTCCCTATTTCATAAAACAAATGTATGTATAAATATTTGTGCATTCATTTTGAATCTATAATCTTGTATATATATATATATACAGTGAAACCTCCCTTAACGGACACCTCTAAATAGCGGACACCTCCAAATAGCTGACGTTTTTTCGGGGACGGGGACATTTTCACTGTTTATGTATAAGAAAACCTCTAAATACAGGACACTTTAAATAACGGACACTTTTATGACACTGATATTAATAATTTTAATCTTAAATTAAGAATTATTTTGGAATACCTGAATAAAAACCTCAATTATTCAGTTATCTTATGTGTACATTATTAAACTGTATATGAAAATCTTAAATTTTCCGTTCAGTAACTTTATCGAGAAAAAGAAATATTGTAACTAATGCATTGTCCTATGTGCGTTTAGTTGTGTTTATGATGCCAATATACGAACGCTTTGGCATTGCTAGCATTAAAAGGCATACGTAAATATATTTCTTCTATCGAGATACAGAATAGTTCATTGTACTCAAACACAGTCCAATTAAAAAATGTCTTAACACAAGAAATAATTACGCCTGCAATTAGTAAACAAACTAAAGTAACAGATTATTTTTAGAAATGTTAGGTAGTTTTTATTTTTATCGTGTATTTGAGTAGGTAATGTAAAAATAATATAAAATAAAATTATTGAATTTATTTATTTATTGAAAAAAATGTTTTCCTCTAAATAGTAGACAAAATTTCGGCTACCGAGAGTGTCCGCTATTCAGAGGTTTCTTTGTATATCTTGGCCTACATAACATATAGAACAGGTATAATAATATTTAATGAATGAAGACAAACATTTTTAAAATGATTATCTTGCGTAATAAAAACTGATTTATTTATTATTAGGTAAATAATGCGGATTGACGATTGTGTATACATTTATAAATAGTATATTAGTATGAGAAATATTTGAAAAGGCAGATGCTCATGAAAAATCCCTAATTATGTAATAGCAAACTGTCATGATTAATAATGATTTTATTTTGGAACTTAAAAGAACCTACTTAACTTAAAAATAGTCGTTTGGTTCCGGTACTTTTTCTTACTTTCAAATAAGGTTATTTTTTTAGAGGAAGTTCACAGATTATTTTCACTACCAAAAATGGGGGATGATATTTTGCGCTACCAATAGGTAAATTGGTTTTAATAATTTAAAAAGTGTGTAAGTAATTTAACACCAAAATATAAAAATACAACACAAAAAAATAATTTTGGTAATTTGCGCCATCAAGACAGAAAACGAAATAGAATATATCCACATATTCAATTTTCAATTTCAATTGTTCAAAATAATGTACAAATTGTTTTAATAAAATTGTAAGTGAACCTAAAGGGCATGATCTTTATTCAACAAAGTTTAGACAAAAAAATGTAATACAAATTAAAATAGAGAAAAGGTATAGAAAATCGGTATTCTAAACTAAATAAGATGTACGGAACCGAAATTTCTGTTATGTTTTACTTACTTATTATACATTAAGTAAATTACAAGTTTTGGTTTTACAAGATGGAGTAGATATAAAATGCCCCTTAATTAATATTTTGTGCCGAAAACTATACAAGCTAAAAAAGTATAGCAAATTATCAAAATTAATTGATGTGGCACAAATTATGTATATATTTTATGTTTGGCGCAAATTACATACTTCCTATGAAAACATTAGAATACCAAACACAATTGATTAAGGACAGAGGAGGTCCCTACTTCGTTTGGTGTGCAGTAAGCAGACGTTGCAATTATTTCAAAGTTCCTTATTTTTCCTCTCTTAATAATTAACCCTTCTATGTCTCTATGTAAGTGACACGAACTACCTATATTGCTAATAAGCTTCTTGAAAGGATGGTCGGTTTGATTGCCAATATAGACCAAGAGAACCAACTATCTCTTTATTTTAAATTAAGTTAACGAATTACCTATTAAAATAAAAAAATATGAAAGACTAATAATAAGTTAAATAATATTAGTAACTTTTTCCATAACTAACTGACTATATGGTAATCAAATTATTAATATAGCCAGATAATCAATATACTCTACAGGTAGTAATTTATTTTTTATTTTTAGATTCTGAGCATAGCAAATGTGTGTAATTTTTTTTGTCTGCCATTAACATTTGTGACAGTAAAAATGCTCAAATTTAAAACAAAAATCGATTTTCTTTTTGGTAAAACCCAAAACCTAATAAACGTAGACTTTTAAATTTTCACCAAATATTTATTATAGCATCTCTTATACATGTAGAAATTTTCATTACATCTTTTATAGCCATAAGATATTTTTATTTTGTATTAATATTTTTAAACTATTAACTGTATATTAACTATTATACTAGTAGGTATCAATATATGCTATTGTTAGGTGACACAACGCCTTGGCTCGGAATCGTTTTTCGTATGTAATGATTTATCATTAAATTCAAATATAACACATTCATTACAATTATTTACAATGACATGCTAGACTATATTACTGTACAGCAGAGTGATTCCCCCTTTTCCACATTTTTATTATTTAATATTTTTCCAACAAATTTTGCAAGCAAGCTCTAACTTTATCTTTTTATACTAACTGACATTATTATTATTTTTATTAGGTCCCGGGTTTTAATGCAAAAGGCATTATTTTCGGGGAAATTCTGTGACTTACCTGCAGACAATGATTTTCGATTACAAAAATCCGTTTCAAATATCTGATGATTGAAAATTTAACATTTATTTTTAGCAATTTTGTTTGCTCTAGAATTATTAAAACTTTTGGGTCATTTTTAAGTTTATTTTTGCTATTAAAATAATTTTTATTTATTGCCTAGCTAATATTATTATTATTTTTAAACATTTTTTTTTGATTTAGGTATTATTATATAGGCAGGTACCTGTGGTAACCTAACCTAACCTATTCAAGGTTTCAAGGTTGCCAGGTAGATTAAGACGGCGGAGGCGGACAAAAAAACAGGGGCTCCCCGTGTTTGGATGTTAGAACCGAATAATAAATAGTGAAGTAAATTGGTAAAATATATCCAACTGTAATAGTAGGTATATTTCATAGTTTCCATAGATACCACAATAATCTATTAATACTGTCATTGTCAACGGAGGTCATTTACTCAATATATTTATGATAAACATCTTGGTGAGGCGTGCCGTGAGAACTGAAACACGCCGTGACTAGTTAGGAATACACCTACTGAAAAACGTATGGGTTGCTTTTTATTACGGGGATTTTTTTTCGATTGCCGTTCAAGGTGGATCAGCTATTACTTTTTTCTTATAAAATTAGTTAAATACATCAATAATCCTAATTAAAATAGTATCATAAACTTAAATATCATTCTTATAATCAGCTCATTATGATAGTACAATTTTCAGATAAAAATATAAAATGGTACGTAACTCTTCTAATACTCGACACGTCTACTTCATAATTGTAATACATTATATTAATTTGCTCAAACCGTGCTATCAAAGTGACAAGATTGGTTAATAAATCGTAGTTTGTCGGATACATTGATTGGAATAAAAATCTACTTTGCGGGTTACCATGACGGGTATTCCAACGGCGGGAAAACGTTGATAACGAACACGGTGAAGGATATTATCTTTAACCGCGATAACGGACTATATATTTTTCTTTTTTATATATTAATATTATCTGTGTAACGCAAAAAGATTCACCTAGTCATCGTTGTATCACGAGAAGCATTAAATCGTTGTTTTACAGTAATTATTTTATATACCTAATTTAAGATATATTTTTTTAATAATATTATTGTCTATGACCAATAAATCATATAACATCGATTATGTGGAGCTCGGGATCCGGAATCCGGATACACTGCCCACCATCAATATTGATAAGAGGTAACAACTGTTGAAGGCATTCTTTTTGGTTTGATTAATTAATCTTTACTACTAAGTTAGTCACTTTTTTGGTGGTAATATGATGTTGATTCGCTTGTGACTTACAGACCTTCGATTAGCCATTAGCCGACATCTAGCCGGCCGGAGTGCTGGACGCGTCAGACGAACGACAATCATCAATATTCTACAGTATTGTCCACTTCCGACCATTAGTGACATTTAGTGTACACTCGCGGTCTTTTACCTGTTACGTCTTCCAGAAAACCGCGTAGTTAGCTACGTTATTCCCACAGTGCTCGTCGGCTATATGCACTGTTCGCAAACTCCGAACGCGAAGACGTGTCAACACACGTTATTGCAATGAGTAAGTTCTAAAGTACCTACCTACTTAAACGAAACGAAATACCTGACATTTTACTGCCTTATAATTCAAGTCTGGTGAGCCGCACTTATTACTTATAGTAGTCGAAAAAATGCTATTTCAGACAAGGTCTACCTAGAATATAATGCTAATATTATAATGTTATGCTTGTCAGTGTGACTTAACTCTATCGACCTGTTGTTTGTTATTAAGTGGAAGAAAAAATAAACTAAAATCTCATCGGATGCTTGTTAAGTGATCATAGCTTAATCATATTAATTAATACCACACTAAATCACAATTTATTATATCTTAGTTCCATAACATAACAAAATAGGTATATGGAGTTAAAATTTAACTATTTAATAATGTAACATAAATTATTATATTTTTCCATTACTTGGAAATGTTTTATTTATATTACATTGATATTGATTAAAACATTTAAAACCGAATATTTGTTATTGATAACCTTTTTAAACACATTTTTTTTTCCATCACTGAATGTTAGTTAGTATAGACTATTGGCAGTATGAATTAATCATGTTTATTTTTGTAGGTATTTCAAGTTTAAATTTGGTGGACCAATTTGATGCATCATTGAACATTCATACTAAGCTAAAAGACATTATAGATCCTGGTGTGGTTTCGTCCAAAGAATGTTCAAAGGCAAACTCTCGTGTACATCAATCAATAACTAGTCCGATACTGTCAGTTTCTGTAAATCCGTTTCACTTAGTTCAAGAAGAAATATCAGAAATTCTATCGACATCAACCCCAGATACAGGAATATTATTACCTGTAGCATGTCCTGTTATTGAAATATTGACTACATCAAATCTTTTTTTGTTCGAATTTCCAAGACCTTATACAATAATATCATCAATGCCAACTGAATTGAGACTAGTATCTTGTATACCTTATAATATCATGTCACCATGTGTTCAACCAAGAATTGATGCTCGTAATATTCTTAGAACTACTACTTTTATGTATGGGTCACATTTATTTCCAATAATTGAGCACTTAAAATACACCATGAAAATATTTTATAATGAAAATAACCAAACACCTACAATATATGTTATGAAAATAACATGCGGAACACAAGTAACACAATCATTCAAATTGAAATGTGTAGAAAAGGTTTCTGTTACAAAACAACAAAATGGAAGTGGAATCAATTCATACTATCATTATCAAAATCTCAATAACAATGTAATAAACGAAACTAACATCACACAGGTAATGAATTTAACAAATAGAAATCTTAGAATTATATTTTTTAATAACATTATGTTATAGTAACAGCTACATTATTATGGCATTTTGTAGTAACTATGTTAAATACCTACAATATTTAAACTGTTCTAGAAATATCAGACATCAGCAAACCACCAGACAACAATGACCAATTTCTAAATAGACAATTAGAATAGAACTAAAAATTTTGATATAAAATCAGTAAAGTTTCAGCTAATCTGCTTAATTCACAGGTATTATTATTTTATTTTTAACTAGGCATAGAGTATAGGGTATAGTATAGTATAGTATATAGATTTAATATCTGCTAATTAATTTTTAATTAATTGTTTGAATACTGTTTACAAAAACATAACTTTTTCATTTTTGTGATTAATTAAAATCAAACAAATTTTTTGTATGTACCCTTATAAGTTATGTGACCGTAAATTATTTCCATTGTTGAATTAAGACACAAACTTGAAAAATTGTTGAGTTATTATCTGAACTTAAGATCAGGGTTTAAAGTAGGTAAAAGTTTCATAGGGGACTAATGTCTCCATATAATTTTATTAGAATTATTAGTTTTACATATATAATTTTATGCATAATGTCGAATGACCTAATGTATAAAATCCTAATTTGTTAAAGGGGACACTTTTTAACCACCATCAGAGGCAGAGGGGCTGAGTCCTCCTGCATCCCCCCCAACTTAAACCCCTGCTTAAAATTAACTCAATTGCATGGACTTGTCCAGCCTTCCCACTTAGGTTGCCTGAAATGTAAAAATCTGAAATATATGCAAACAAGTGTAAACTAAACATTATTGATTTTTTGATTTGTAGAAAACATGATTTATTAAAAAAATAAAAACTGTATTCTAAACATATTGGTGGTTAAAAGTGCGTTGTTAGATAATTAATGTGTTATAGTTTTTCTGATCGTTGATTTAATCTAAAATTAAATATTAACATTAATGTTCACATAAACATTTCATAAGTTTTGTGTAACAATTTAATAAATACAATGTGATATTAACTATTACTATTGATTTTAACATTGTTTCAATTATTTTTAAATTTTTGTGTGTAACAACAATTTTTTTGGGTTGATTGTGGATAACCCAGGACTTCTACATGAGTTATCTCCATGAGGTACAGGTTTTTGTTAGACAATTTCAATCATGAAAAAAATCCACTTTAATGTTTTATTTTCATATCAAACATTGATTGTAATTTTATAATAAGTGTTATAACTATTTTATTTTTATCTCATATTTGACAAAATATGAATTGCTCATCATGTAAAATAATGTTACACAACTCATGATTATATTACTCACAATACATCACATAATTATAAATGCAAACATAAAATTACTATTTTATCCTAAACAATGTTGACGGACATTTTAAATTTTCTTTTTTTTTTTCTATAAACGTCAAAAAACTTTAATTGATTTTTCAAAAAGCATGAAACTTTAATACATGACTTTTGAAATATATTTAAAATACATATTTACGAATTTTTTATAAGGATTCAAAGTTCAAATGTTGAAAATATTTATGAAATTGAAAATTTAAAATGATTTTGTAGTTAAAAATATATACAATTTTCAATTTTTATAGCTAAGAATTAAAACTTCAAAACAATATTCCACTTCTTAAGCAATTTTTTTCCGTAACTAAAAAAATCTAAAAAATTAATAAATACAGTTATCTTTTACAGACATTTAAAGTTCAAATTTGTGCAAAATTACATATTATAACAGTTAACACAAAGAATAACGTCTATCATTTTGTTGTATTCGGTTTCAAAACAGCCCAATTTTAAACAAGTATATTTAATATTTTTCCAGCATCACTAATAGTTAAAGAATAATAAAAAAATAGTAAAATAAATAAAAATAAAAATAATTGAATGATTATTCATAATATTAATTCAACTTACTGGCTACCGTGTTGATAATAAGTAATAACAATATAAAATATCCTAGACTAACACACCGTCTCCTCTCAGAATCAATTTTTGTATTCAATGATATCACATCATTATTTGTCGAGTTCAAATTTAATACCCTACATTAAAGCTACCTTCTAAACACCTAACGTACAGCAGGGCAACATCCACTTACCCGTTTTTCTTATGTTTGTGAAATGAAATATTTATAAATAATACTTGTATGTAAAAATAACGTTTGTTTTCAAACAAGTAGAAGTCTATGTGATAAATGGGAAAGTATAATTCTGTTAAGTATACCATATAATTAATTGTTTTTACATATTATATACATGTGTATAATATATTTGATGTGCTTCATATTGAATTAAAATTTTGTTATTAAAACTCTATAATGTGAATTTTCAAACTATTATATTACATTTGAAATTGTATTACTTTGTTTTACTAACTATAGTTTTTAATTTTCTATAATATAGAATAGCATTATGTAATATGTGTTCAAAATATAATTACGAATGAGTTTTAGTTCGCTCAAAAGTATCTTTAAACTGTTATACATTTTATTATTTTGTTACTAATGTATTTTATTAAATTACTAAGTTAAGTATTTCATACATAAATTATGTATTGAGAGTGTTAACCTGTTTTTTCAACAATTTGAAGTTATATTTTAGCAAATTATTTTACAATTTATGGTTTTATGTAATACAACCTTTATTGATATATAGTGATAAATTATGATCATTAATCACAATCTTATGCAGGCTACAGAGTGATTTACCAACTCATTGTTTATCTCCACCTTTTCCTTTTAGACAAAATTAAGAAAAAACAATACATTTCAATTTTTGACAAAATCAATTACGTTTTTTTGTTATAACTTAAAAATGAACAACTTTAGCGACACAAAAGTTTCATTGTATTTTTTATTAGCGTTGGCTAGATATGAGCTAATTTTCCAAATATTCTGGTTCTTTTTGTGATATTTGTATGTATTTTAAATTTTCAACTTTTAATAGTTTCTTTCTATTTATGTTATTGAAATATTTTGTATATTTTTTAGTTTTGAGTATTAATGCTCAAATTAATACAAGATTCCTTGTAAGTAGTTCTTTTAGCAATAATTAAATTTTTAACATAAGTTTTTTTATAACTATGTTATTGAAGAAAAAATGAGGCGAGCATGTTAGGTAAATTATTCTGTAAATTATATTTAACGATAGATCATATCTGTGTTTGTCAATTTGGCCAAGCCGTAAGTATCAAATTTCTATCAGGCATTGTGAAATGCATACATTATACACAATATATATTATACTAAGCATGTTTTGTTGTAAAGTATATTTAATGTAAGTTAGTTAAATTGACATACCTATAACTTTTCTATGTTTGTTACATAAAATTAAATGTTTGTATTGATAATTGTAATTTTCCTAGATGTAACTTTTTTTTATATGTGAAATATATATTGTGTTATAATTGATAATAATACATATATCCACCATATTTAATTTAGTATGTTTGTATTTACTTTGTTTATTATTTTTATGTGACTGTCCAACTTAAATTATTGGAATATAAAGAACTGTACTAAGATTGAATTATTATTAATACATGTATAAATATTTTTTTTTATCAATATATTGTACCTTAATAGATAACATTTGCCTATATATTTTAAATAAATACAATTGTACATTATGTACTATTCAGTTAATTGTATATAATACTGACTATCGTTTTCACAATATTTTAATGTGTATATTACACATTAAAATTGACAAGTGTTAATTCAAAAATGATATAATAAATAATTCAATGAAATTACACTGATTTTAACTTATATAACTTATGTCATAAATTTTTTGTCAAAATATTTAATTATTTTCAATCTACCTAGGTATGTATTTAATATTTATACTTACCTTACACATAAAATGAATTGTATCAAGCAAAAACAAATTTGTGTTTTGGCTTTAATATTAGTATTTTATCAAGAGCTCCTTGCATCTCGTAGGCTTTTGTCGATATTTTAACTTTAAAGGGCAGAGTTATAACTTAAAATTGTAACGATGAAAACTTGTGTTAAAAAAAAACTGACTAAATGGAAAATTTTTTGTAGATAGTTATTTTTTGCTTCCCTGGGTCACCGCGATCAAAGTTACCCATGCCCATCGAACTACCACCACGCTTAAGACTATTTTTAAAAGGTAAATGACAAAAACATATTGGCCACCCGGTTATGGTCTATTATGGACCATTGGTCGCACACTCGCACTATTAAGGGGCTATTAAGCTCACTGTAATGTAACTGTATTCCGCGTAAATAGTTATCGTTAACACGTTACAACAATATACCAAATAGTAAAATCCTAAATATATTAAATTATTCCACCGTAGGTTATGTGGATATGTTATCTAAATTTATTAATGACAAGTGATTTACTGATATTATATTACAAAAAAAACATTATTTAATTTGATGAATAACGGGACAATTCAATAACACGAACTGCGGGGTATACACTAACATGGAGACAGCGTAATAGCACCTTTAATGTTACGACCGAAGTCTGAAGAAGTAAGGAACAAAGCTCACTGTGCTTTGGTGCCCTTAAAATGTAAAGCACCTTCAGCACCCTAAAGTACTTCCCTCATAGTACGGTCATATATATATATAAATACCGTAATTACTTACGTATCCGGACATTTCGGCGTGGACACTTCGGCGTTACCATCTCGGCCAGGGCCGGCGAAAGCTATGGGCGACCTGGGCGACTGCCCAGGGCGCCAGCACGGAAGGGGCGCCAAACTGTAAATTATTTTTATTTAAATTATCTTTTAATAGGCATTAACAATCTGTACAATTTGAAATTATAATTATTTAATGTCGTTTTAATTGAAGATGCATCTGCAATTGTTCCATATTTTTATAATGTATAAGAATAAAACAGTGTATCGATATTCGATACCTCTGGTTTTGATGTAAAAATAATGCATGGAACTATGGATCATGGAAGCATACCACCGCATTTGTGTGAGTCAATCAAATATATAGATGGTCGTAATAATTATTTTCACATTATATTCAGCGATTTATAAATAACTTCATAAAACTAGACGATTACATCTAGATTTATTAGAAAAACCACGGCAATAAAACACATTCGGACATTAAGGCGAAAATAACGCAGTCTAGCGTAAATCAAAAAGACACAATTGTCTGACACACACAATTATTTATTGTTTTCGAATTTATTGTTTTTAAAGTTATGATACATACTAATTTTATTTAACTTAGATATTATTAAAAAACCAACTTAATTTTACTACTAC